CCTCTAAGAGTTGGGCTGGTGGGCTGCTTACGGGGGATATGGCATCCACCAGGGCCACCGCTGGCAGGAAACGTTGATACGGCCCCAGAGGCCGTAGGGAAGAGCAGGAGGGCGGCCCCTGGCATCTTCATTTCCCCTTTGCCTTTTTGTTTTTTTAGACAGGGTCTCTGTCGCCCAGGCTGGAGTGCAGTGGCATAATCTTGGCTCACGGCAACCTCCGCCTCCTGGGTTCAAGTGATTCTCCTGCCTCAGCCTCCCAAGTAGCTGGGATTACAGGCACCTGCCACCATGCCCAGGCCATTTTCTGCAAACATAGGTGTCTGTTGTAAAACTGTCTCCAAGGCAGGCCCCGCCTTCTGCAGCCCTACTGCGCGATGCACGCTTCCCGGCAGCACTCACCTGTGCTCTTCCTGCCCCGGGCAGCCTCCGAACCAGTCTCCCCCCTCCTCTGTGAAACGGGCTTGAAGAGGTTAGAAGCCGAGAAGTGGTGCACTGCGACCTCCGCTTCCTGGATTCAAGCCATTCTCCTGCCTCAGCCTCCTGAGTCGCTGGGATTACAGTCACCTGCCAACATGCCCAGCTACTTTTTGCATTTTCAGTAGACATGGGGTTTCACCATGTTGGCCAGGCTGGTCTTAAACTCCTGACCTCAGGTGAGCCACCCAACTTGGCCTCTCAAAGTGCTGGGATTACAGGCATGAACCACCTCGCCCGGCCCAATTTGTCTTTGAATATGGTCCCTGGAAGAGCCAAGATATACAGCCTGCCCCACTGGCCCTGCCCCCGAGCCTAGCTGGACAGCTAGGTCAGGGGTCATGTCTGAGCCCTGGGACTCTGGGGGCTGTCCTAGGCCAAGGACAAAGAAGGGAGGCTGAGTTTGCTTGGATGAGCTTTGAGAATGTGCTTGTGGCTGGGCGAGGTGATCCTGTAATCCCAGCACTTTGGGAGGCTGAAGTGGGAGGATGGCTTGAGCCCAGGAGTTCAAGACCAACCTGGACAACATGGTGAGATGCTGTCTCTACAAAAGTACAAAAGAATTAGCTGGGCATGATGCTGCACACCTGTAGTCCCAGCTACTCAGAAGGCTGAGGCAGGAGGATCGGTTGAGCCCAGGAGTTGGAGGCCGCAGTGAGCTATGATCACTCTACCCCACTCCAGCCTGGGTAACACAGTGAGGCTCTGTCTCAAAAAAAAAAAGGAAAAAAAGATGTTCTGAAAGACTGCCCCTTCCTCTGTCTTGTTTTTTTTGTTTGTTTGTCTTTTCTTTCTTTTGAGATGGAGTCTCACTCTGCTGCCCAGGCTGGAGTGCAGTGGCGCGATCTCAGCTCACTGCATCCTCTGCCTCCCAGGTTCAATCCGATTCTCCGGAGTAGTGGGGATTACAGGTGTGCACCACCGCGCCTAATGTCTGTGTTTTTAGGAGAGACTGGTTTTCACCATGTTGGCCACGATTCGCCAGGCTGGTCTCGAACTCCTGAACTCAGGTGATTTGCCCAACTCAGCCTCCCAGAGTGATGGGATTACAGGTGTCCTCAGTCTTGTTAATTACACCGGAGGTTTGCTGCGTACAGTGAGACCAGGATGATGGTGGTGAGGTGGTGATCAGAGGGAGCCACACTTCTGCTCAGGGGCTTGGTAGAAGCCAGCAGGGCTTGGGGTTTCCCCATTTGGGGCTCTCCAAGTTGAGAGTGCAGAGAAGTGTGAGGTGCGTGCGAAAATGCAACCTTGGCTCCCTCTGGCTCGAGGGTGGCAGTAGGTGAGTCTCTGGTAGGACTGGGACACATGTACTTTTTAAGCTTTTTTATTCTTGAAAAGTTCAAGGATACACAAAGCTAGACAGACCATGCAGGATAAGGAGCCCTCACATACTCCGAATATCTCTTCTGTAATGATCGGCTCATGGCTAGTCTGGTCTCATCTCTACCTCCACTCCTGACCTCTACCTCTGGGTTATTTTGCAACAAATCCCAAATGTCCATATCATTTATCTTAATATTCCATAAATATTCCACTGTGTAGCTCTGAAGGATAAGGACTTTTTTGTTGAGACACAATTTCGCTCGTTGGCCAGGCTGGAGTACAATGGCATGATCTCCACCCACTGCAACCTCCACCTCCTGGGTTCAAGCGATTCTCCCACCTCAGCCTCTGGAGTGGCTGGGATTACAGGCTCCCACCACCACACTCAGCTAATTTTTGTATTTTCAGTAGAGACGGGGTTTCGACATGTTGGCCAGGCTGGTCTTGAATTCCCAACCTCAGGCAATCCACCTGCCTTGGCCTCACAAAGTGCTGGGATTACAGGTGCGAGCGACCATGCCCAGCAAGGACTCAAACTCCTGAGTTCAGGTGATTCTCCCACCTAAGCCTCCCAAGAAGCTGGGATTATAGGCATGCTCCACTGTGCCCAGCCAAGTGCAATGTCTTATCACACCTTTACAAAATTAATAATTCCAATCATCCTATAGTGTTCAAATTTCCAATAGTCTCATAAAACGGTAATTTCTTTTTTTTGAGACGGAGTGTCGCTCTTGTTACCCAGGCTGGAGTGCAATGGCGCGATCTCAGCTCACCGCAATCTCCGCCCCCTGGGTTCAGGCAATTCTCCTGCCTCAGCCTCCTGAGTAGCTGGGATTACAGGCACGCGCCACCATGCCCAGCTAATTTTTTGTATTTTTAGTAGAGACGGGGTTTCACCATGTTGACCAGGATGGTCTTGATCTCTTGACCTCGTGATCCACCCGCCTCGGCCTCCCAAAGTGCTGGGATTACAGGCTTGAGCCACCGCGCCCGGCAAAACAGTAATTTCTTAACATCTTATTTTGTTGCAATTGGTTGCTGTAAGTCACCTAGGTATCTTAAGTTTCTCTTTTAGACTTTTTATTGTAAAATAGATATAAAATTTGCCATTTTAACAATTTTTTTTTTTTTTAAGATGGGGTTTCACCTTGTTGGTCAGGCTGGTCTTGAACTCCCAACCTCAGGTGATCCACCCAACTTGGCCTCCAAAGTGCTTGGATTACAGGCGTGAGCCACCACTCCCCATTTTAACAGTTTTTAAGTGTTTAACTCAGTGGTGTTAATTACGTTCACAATGTAATCATCACCTCTATGTAGTTCAAAAATCTCAAGTCACCTTTATTTTTGCATTTTTTTTTTTTTTAATTTTAGGGACTAGGTTTTGCTATGTTGCCCAGGCTGGCCTTAAACTCCTGGGCTTAAGATGATCCTTCCGCCTTAGGCCTCCCAAGTAGCTGGGACTACAGGTGTACACTGTCACATCCAGCTTCAAATCTCTTTTAATCTATAAAGTTCTGGCTAGGTTCGGTGGTTCATGCCTGTAATCCCAGCACTTTGGGAGGCCGAGGCAGGTGGATCACCAGAGGTCAGGAGTTGGAAACCAGCCTGGCCAACGTGGAGAAACCTTGTCTCTACTAAAAATACAAGAATTAACTGGGTGTATGTGGGGTGTCTGTAATCCCAGTTACTACGGAGGCTGAGGCAGGAGAATCGCTTGAACCTGGGAGGCGGAGGATGCGGTGAGCCGAGATCGCACCACTGCAGTCCAGCCTGGGCGACAGAGCGAGACTTTGTCTCAACAACAACAAAATCGATAAAGTTCCCCTTCCTCTGAAGATTGAATGTGATTTTAACAAACCCATTTCAGCTCTGAGGTGCATGCCTATTCCAAGGCCACTCCTCCCTCTGGGGGGTCCCAGTTTCGTGATCTGGTCTTCCCTTTCCTTCCTGGTAGCGTGAACCAATAGAGACAACAGGATAAAGGTGAGGGATGAATGGATGGATGCAGGCAGATGTGAGAACAGCGCTCACCTGGAGGGCAGGAACCACTTGGGGGCGCCCTGTGCCCATGAGCTGCTGTTTCGAGGAGCCTGGAGCCGGTGGGCACAGGGAGGAAAGAGGCTTTAGAGTGGGGGACAGCCGGGGGAGGAAGGAGGTTGGCTGAGCCAGGCCTGGGGGCCTCAGGGACTTCTGTGTCCTCATGAGGCACAAAGGCCCTGCCCACCCTGCCCTGGTGTGGCCTGCCGTAGGTCACCCCCAAGAGCGGGCACACGTGTGGCTTTGGGACCATGGCGCAGGGAAAAGAGGGACAGGGCCCTGCTCCTGTCACCTGCTGCTTCCGCCACGCCAGGACCAAGTCAGTGGTGTGAGCCAGTGGCCAGGCATCACTGCCCCGAAGGCAGTGGGGGGCTCCTCTTGGACTGGGGGCAGGGCTTGGTGGGCAGCCCTATGGGAGGGGGAGTTGGTGGGGGACCAGAGGGACTGACCAAAGGCAGGGCAGATCCCAGGACACCAGGGAATCTAAGCTTCTAAGAGTCAAGCTTTGCTGACCGTTGGACTAGCCCGGGGCCTCTATGCTTAAGGCATCGGAGAAGCCCAGTGGCCAGAAAGGGGCTGGGACCAGGGTGGACCTTTGGGATCTGGGGTCAAAGGGGGAAGGAGCTGACTGTGTGGCAGGGCAGGGGCAGAAGGCCTTTTGGGGAAGGGGGTCCAGGCCTTCTCCCCACCCTGATCCAGGTCACTGTGGATGCAGCTGGGAGCTGAGCCTGGCAGCCCATGTGATACAGTGGTGGGGGGATGGGAGCCCCACATGGCCAACACTGCCAGCCACACCCTAGAGGGCATAGGGTAAGGGCTGTGTGAAGAGAAAAGGGGTCTCTGAGTCCTGCCTCTCTGTGCTGTCCTCAGGGACACCCTAGAGAAGGGACTTTTGGGGGCTGCTTTGAGGAGAGAACAGCTGGATGGACCCACTGGGCTCTGTGGTCTGTGGGGCATGGAAGAGGGGACCCAGGGGCATTGTGGGGACAGCGACTGGGAAGGGAAAGGAGCCCCTGACCCCAGATGAGTGGGGAGAAGGAAGAGCGGAGAACAGGGATGCCCAGAGCCCATGCTATCAGCCCCATCCTCAGCACACCCACCGGCAGCCTCTGGGGTCCCCCCGGGCCCACTTTCTCCCGAGATCCCCATCACAAGAGCCCAGAGGGCAGGAAAAGCAGGTTTACTGTTGGCAACAGCACAGCCCTGTGCCACCCACGGGGAGCTGGTGAGGTGGCAGCCGGGTCTCCTGGGCCTCCTGTTCCCTCCCATTCTCTAGGTCCCTGGAGCCCAGACCCCTGGCTGTGGCCTGGCCTAGCGGCGGTTCTGGCTGGGTCTGTCCGAGGCAGGAGAGGAAGGTCCTTGGAGAGGCAGCGATGGCTGCAGCGGCCGTAGGGAGCCAGGACACTTCGGGCCAGGCCTGCTCAGCTTTGCACTTCTGGGGATCCCCTTATCCCTGACTCTCCCCCCACCCCCACCTGGAAGAGACCTGGGCCCCGCACCCCAATGAGGAAGACCAGGCTGAGGGGTGCAGAGCATCCTGGGGGGGCTTTGAGCCTTGGCCAGGGCCTCAGCAAGGGGAGCGCAGGGCGGGCCTCACGTCTGCAGCTCCAGGAGGCAGTTGGGCCCCGAGGTCGGGGAGCTGGCCAGGCTGGAGCTGTGAGCCTCCCGAAGGCCCCGAAGCACCCGGAGCAGCCGGGCCAGTGAGTCCTCGGGGGCTGCGGACAGAGGCGGCCGTGAGGGCCCTGGGAGTGGGTCCGGAGACCCCGCCCATACGTCCCTGGAGGGGCTGGGACCAGGCAGCCAGCCCCAGGTGCGCAGGACCTACCGTCGCCAGGGCTCGCAGGCACAGTGCCGGCCTCGGCACCCCCGCTCAGCTCCCGGTGCTTCTCCCTGTGGGGCGGCCAGAGTGAGGACCGTCAGCCTCCACCCGCCCTGCCAGGCTTCTGGTGCCCCTGTGGGAAGGCTGGGTGCTCCTGGGCTAGAGGTGGCTCTGGGAGTGACGGCAGGGCTGACTCCTTCAGTCTATGAACAGGAAACGCGGGCCCAGCCTCGGCCCCTGGGCGACTGCCCCCTTCTCCCTTGCAGTGTCTCCTCCTCAGCCCACTGGGTTCACCAGAAGCCCCTTTGGATTTTTTTTTTTTTTTTTTGAGATGGAATCTTGCTCTATGACCCAGGCTGGAGGGCAGTGGTGTGATCTTGGCTCACTGAAACTTCCATTTCCTGGGTTCAAGCAATTCTGCCTCAGCCTCTCAAGTAGCTGGGATTACAGGTGCCCTCCACTACGCCCAGCTCATTTTTGTATTTTTAGTAGAGAAGGGGCTTTGTCGTGTTGGCCAGGCTGGTTTCAAATTCCTGACCTCAAGCCATCTGCCTGCCTTCGCCTCCCAAAGTGCTGGGATGACAGGCGTGAGCCACCGTGCCCTGCCTTTGTGGGTTTTGAGGGCAGAGATAAACCGAGGAAAGGGGAGGGCCACACCCTTCCTCCTCGAAGAGGGTGGGGTGTGAGAGACGGAAGAGCTCCTGGTCCAGCTGGCACTGGGTCACCCTGAAGTGTCCCGGCACCGCCACATCTCCAGAGACCCTGAGTGACGGGGCCTCAGCATCCTGTTTTTAAAGCTGGGCATTAAAAGCATCCTGTTTTTTCTAAGCTTGTGCCAGGGCTGAGAACCACTGGACGAGTGAGATGGCCGAGGAACTCAAGGGAGTGGCCGAGGCCACAGCCTGTGCTCCCAGGGCCTGGTGAGACGGCTGGGCAGGTGGTGAGGTGGGTTCAGCCCACAGCATCATGCAGGCACGGCGCAGACCCTTGGGGCCTCTGTCCCAACCTGAGCTGGCCTCATGTTGCAGGGAGGCAGGTATTCCTGGTGCCCTCCCCAGATGTGGCCAGTTAGAACAGAGGTGACCAGCCACCACGGAGCAGCCCCAAGCCTGAATCCCAGCTCTAGCCCCCAGCCTGGCACACTCCCTGGGCTACACAGGCTGTCCTGGGTGGGACTCACCACAGCATGGCCTCCACGCTCAGCAGGTGCCGGTAGATGAGCTGGGCCTCAAGGTCATGGTCAAGAGGGTCATTCCACTCCTGCAGGGTCACCCGTGACCGGGTCTTATCGCAGCCCCGACCTGGGGGCACAGAGAGGGCAAAGTTACCAGCAGACACTTCACTACCACGTCCAACTTCCTGGCTGCACAGATGAGCAAGCAGAGTTCTGGAGGGGAGAGAGGCACTCGGGGGTCCCTGGTGCACAGCCTGGTCAGTCTGATTCAGGACCTCATCTTGAGGTCAGCCCCTGCACCATGGAATGTGTGACTGCAGAGCATGGATGTCATCAGGATGTGACTCGGGGAGCCAGGCAGCTTTCTAGAAGGCCGCCTGCCTGGAAGGGAACAGGCTGAAATGTTAACATCATGGTGAGGTGGGCCGTAGCGGGTTCATGCCTTAGAATGAGCTGCTCCTGCAGCCCACGCTGGCTTTAAAGTCGTCTGTCTTCGCTAAGCCTCAGCTTCTCCTCCGTACAGTGGAATACCAGGCCCTGTCTCCTGGGCCATGGTGGGCCCCACTATGCCAATAATGAGGGTATCGCTATGATGGTTACAGCCAGAGGCTGCAGGTCATATCAGCCAGCCAGCAAAAAAGAGTCACCAAGAGCCCAGGCGCAGTGGCTCACACCTGGAATCCCAGCACTTTGGGAGGCTGAGGCAGGAAGACCGCTTGAGGCCAGGAGTTCAAGGCCATCCTGGGCAACACAGTGAGACCTTGTCTCTACAAAAAGGTGTGAGGCATGTGCCTGTAGTCTCAACTGTGCAGAAGGCTGAGAGAGGAGGATCACCTGAGCCCAGGAGGTCAAGGCTGCAGCGAGCTATGGTTGTGCCACTGCACTCCAGCCTGGGTGAGAGAGTGAGGCCCAACTCAGAACAAAACGAAAGAGTCACCCATCTCTGTGCACTGCCAGACTGTAAATCCAGGGCCAGCCTAGAGTGGGTGGGTCAGTTTTCCATGGCCTCTGCCACACTGGGCTCTGGGGACCGAGGTTTGGCCTGGCCTGAAAGGCCAGGAGACTCCAAGTGCTCAGTCTCGTCAGGAAGGAAGGCGAGGATAATGAGAAGGATTGTTCTGTTCTGCAGGGCGGCCGCTAGCCACAGGAAAACATTTGAGTTGATTACAATGAAAACAACATTTTTAACAACGTAAAACTCAGGCCAGGTGTGGTAGCTCACGCCTGCAGCCCCAGCACTTTGAGAGGCTCAGGAAGGAGGATTGCCTGAGCCTGGGAATTCAAGACCAGCCTGGACAACACAGCAAGACCTTATCTCTAAAAAAAAAAAAAAAAAAAATGTAAAAACGAGCCAGGGGTGGGCCTGTAGTTCCAGCCTACTCAGAGGCTGAGACAGGAGGCTTGCCTCAGCCCAAGAGTTGGAGGCTGCAGTGAGCTATGATTGTGCCACTGCACTCCAGCCTGGGCAATAGAGCGAGACGCTATTTTTAAAAAATTAAACAAAAAACCCCCTCAGCCCCTCAAGCCACATTTCAAGTGCTCAAGAGCCACAGGTGCTGGAAGCGAGAGTACTGCACAGTTGTGAGGCCTTCTAGAAGCTCCTTTCTGCCACCCCTCCAGTGCCCAAGGCACAGGGTCCCCTCCCACCCACAGCTCCGGGTTCAGGCCGCCAGCATGGGGGTGTGCGAACCCAGGGGCTCTCTTTGGCTCCCTTTAGCAGGGGGTTCCTCAACTGTGTTCCCTAGAACACTGGTTCTGTTAAGAAGCTCCTTGGGCAAGAGACGGGCCACGTGAAGCTATTTGAGTTAATTAAAATCCAAACCCTAGGGTTCCCTGTCAAATGGGATTGGGAAGTACAGGGTTAAGCCACGTTAGAAGTGGGATTCTTAGGCTGGGCGTGGTGGCGCATGCCTGGAATCCCAGCACTTTGGGAGGCCAAGGCGGGTGGATCCTTTGAGGCCAGGAGTTCGAGACCAGCCTAGGCAATGTCTCTACTAAAAATACAAGAAAAAATAGTTGGCCGTGATGGCACGCGCCTGTAATCCCAGCTACGCGGGAGGCTGAGGCAGGAGAGTCACTTGAACCTGGGAGGTGGAGGTTGCAGTGAGACGAGATTGTGCCACTGCACTCCAGCCTGGGTGACAGAGTGAGACTCATCTCAAAAAAAAAAAAAAAAAAAAAAAAATCTGGCCGGGCTTGGTGACTCATACCTGTAATCCCAGCACTTTGGGAGGCCGAGGTGGGCAGGTCACAAGGTCAGGAGTTTGAGACCAGTCTGGCCAACATGGTAAAACCTCGTATCTACTAAAAATACACAAAAATTAGCTGGGAGCAGTGGCATGTGCCTGTAGTCCCAGCTACTTGGGAGGCTGAAGCAGGAGAATCACTTGAATCGGGAGGTGGAGGTTGCAGTGAGCTGAGACTGTGCCACTGCACTCCAGCCTGGGCGACAAAGCGTGGCTCTGTATTAAAAACGAAAACAAAGAACAAGAGCAGCTTGACCAACATGGTGAAACCCCATCTCCACTAAAAATACAAAAAAATTTGCTAGGCATGGTGGTGAGTGCCTGTAATTTCAGCTACTGGGGAGGCTGAGGCAGGAGAATTGCTTGACCCTGGGAAGTGGAGGGTGCAGTGAGCTGAGATTGAGCCACTGCACTCCAGCCTTGGCAGCAGAGCGAGGGTCTGTCTTTAAAAAAAAAAAAAAAAAAAAAAAAAAGTGGCCAGGCGCGGTGGCTCACGCCTGTAATCCCAGCACTTTGGGGGGCCGAGGCGGGTGGATCACGAGGTCAAGAGATCGAGACCATCCTGGTCAACATGGTGAAACCCCGTCTCTACTAAAAATACAAAAAATTAGCTGGGCGTGGTGGCACGTGCCTGTAATCCCAGCTACTCAGGAGGCTGAGGCAGGAGAATTGCCTGAACCCAGGAGGCGGAGGTTGCAGGTGAGCCGAGATCGCGCCATTGCACTCCAGCCTGGGTAACAAGAGCGAAACTCCGTCTCAAAAATAAATAAATAAATAAATAAAATAAATTTAAAAAAGCAGCAGCAGAAAAAAGAAATGGAATTCTTAAGATTGAGAGTCTTTCAAAAAATAAAAATAAATAAGAAAACAGAAATGGGATTCTAACACGTTTTCAGGCCTCCTTAGAGCCTTCAGCGAGTTCACTCACACGCATCGCACACAGCACGTGGCACTTCCCAAACCACCCCTTCTACCCAGAGAGCCCGGAGGCGCCAGCGTTCCTTGGGCTAGGTCCCTGCAGGTGCACAGCAGGCTCAGGGCCCCATTGTTCAACCAGAGGCCCGATCCCACAGCGGATGGATGCAGATCCCAGGGCCCGGGCCTCCTCTCCCACCTGTCTTCTCTCTCTGGTGGCAGCAGCTCCACTTGTCCCCACGGAAGACGCCAGGGTGGTAGGAGCCCAGCAGGCCAGTGTTGTTGATGCTCACCTTCCGCAGCGCAGACAGCCACTGGTTCAGCTCGTTCACACACTGAGGGGACGTGGAGGGGGAGGCCTAGTCAGAGGTCACCTCCTCCAGGAAGCCCTCCTAACCTGCAGCTCCTATACCACACCCGACGCCATGTTCCCCACCACACCAACACAGCAGCTTTGAGTGAATTAGGAGAGGCTGCCCTTCCTCCAGGGGAATGTAGCCCACACCTGGGCACATGGCCTGGAAAGCAGGTGAAGTGGATCTCTCCTATAATCCTAGCACTTTGGGAAGCTGAGGCAGGAGGATCGCTTGAGCCCAGGAATTCAAGACCAGTCTGGGCAACCCAGCAAGACCCCATCCTCTCCTCTCCCACCCGTCTCGTCTTCTTGGTGGCAGCAGCTCCGCTTGTCCCTGGTGTGGGCTGGATTTCAGCTGCTGCTGGCCCCTTGGCCATGCTCCTAGGTATTCCAGAACCCGCGAACTATATTTGGTGGCCCTGATATCATTACTTTTCCCTGTGGCTCTGGACCCTGACACAAAAGGGAAGCCCTAGAGGGAAGGGCTCGGAGGAACAGGTCTGTGACCTCCTCCCCACCAGCCCAGGACAGTCACGCCCAGAAGAAACCACCCCCCTTCCAGCTGCAGGCTTCCTCCATGCGTTTCTGCCCTAGAGACACATCTCAGTCACCCTCCTACAAGGTCCCTGCTCGGATGCCACCCATCAGAGGTCCTCCCTGACCACGTTATTTTTCTTTTGAGATGGAGTCTCTCTGTCACCCAGGCTAGAGTGCAGTGGCACGATCTCAGCTGATTGCAACCTCTGTCTCCCAGGTTCAAGTGATTGTCCTGCCTTAGCCTCCTGAGTAGCTGGGGCTACAGGCTCCTCCAACACACCTGGCTAATTTTTTGTATTTTTAGTAGAGCCAGGATGGTCTCAATCTCCTGATCTCATGATCCACCTGCCTTGGCCTCCCAAAGTGCTGGGATTACAGGCGTGAGCCACTGCACCTGGCCTCTCACTACCCTTTATAGCAGGCGTCCCCAAACTTTTTACACAGGGGACCAGTTCACTGTCCCTCAGACCGTTGGAGGGCCCGCCACATACTGTGCTCCTCTCACTGACCACCAATGAAAGAGGTGCCCCTTCTTGAAGTGTGGTGGGGGGCCGGATAAATGGCCTCAGGGGGCCGCATGCGGCCCGTGGGCCGTAGTTTGGGGACGCCTGCTTTATAGGACAGACTGCTCCCTGCTACCCTCCACTCTGTTCCCTTCCTTGCTCCCTTAGTCTCTTCTGGTTCCCTTCAAGTCACTATCACTATTTGACTTTTTGTTTTAAGAGACAGGGTCTCAGCTTTGTCACCCAGGCTGGAGTGCAGTGGTGTGATCATAGCTCACTGCAGCCTCCAACTCGCTGCAACCTCCAACTCCTGAGCTCAGGCAATCCTCCTGCCTCAGCCTCCTAAGTAGCTGGGATCACAGGTGTATGCCATCATGCCTGGCTAATTTTTTATTTTCTGTAGAAATGGGGTCTTGTTACATTGGCCAGGCTGGTCTCAAACTCCTGGCCTCCAGCAATCCTCCCACCTTGGCCTCCCAAAGTGCTGGGACTATAGGCGTGAGCCACTGTGCCTGGCCTGACATTTGAAACATCTATTCATTGGCCCATCTTCTCCCCTTATCAGCTCCACGAGGGCGGGACTGTCTTGTCTGCCACTGCGTCCCCTCACCTAAAGTCATGCCTGGAACCTAGGAGGTGCTCAGGAAGTGTTTTTTAAATGAATGAATGAAGGAAGGAAGGAAGGAATAGATGGGAAAGTTATTTGAGAACATGCACCCACACAGAACATAATGTTTGATTATTAAGGCGTTGATCCTGGTGCCAGCACAGACTTTCTTTTTTAGAGACAGGGTCTTGCTCTGTTGCTCTGGCTAGAGCTCTGGGATTACCGGCACGAACCAGCATGCCTGGTCCCCATCTCAGATATCTGGAAATCGTTTCCAACAAACGGGTGCAACGTGCAATTTCAGATCACAGGGATGCACCAGTCCGTGTACTGGCCCACACACAGACCTACGCATGGATGCCCAGGGAAAGACATGGGCCATGGCCTCCTGGGGGCTCAGACCCCCAGACAAAACACACACCTAGCCCCACACCTCCCAGATCAGACATACCCTGCTGTGCCTGATGTACCTGGTAGGGGGCGAGAAACTCAGCTCCCTTCTCATACAGTTCACTCTGGCCACTCTCACGGTACCTAGGCCACTCCCACAGTGTCCAGGCCACTCCCACAGCGCCCGAGCCATTCCCAGAGCACCCAGGTCACTCCCACAGAGCCCAGGCCACCACTCCTACAGTGCTCAGGGCATTCCCACAGCACCCAGACCACTCCCATTGCACCTAGGCCACTCCCACAGCACCCAGGCCACTCCCACTGGGCTCCTGCCGCTCCCACAGCACCCAGGCCACTCCCATGGTGCTCATGCCACTCCCACAGCACCCAGGCCACTCCCACGGGGCTCATGCCGCTCCCACAGCACCCAGGGCACGCCCACAGAGCTCATGCCACGCCCACAGCACCCAGGCCGCTCCCACAGGGCTCATGCCGCTCCCACAGCACCCAGGCCACTCCCACAGGGCTCATGCCGCTCCCACAGCACCCGGGCCACGCCCACAGGGCTCATGCCGCTCCCACAGCACCCGGGCCACGCCCACAGGGCTCATGCCGCTCCCACAGCACCCGGGCCACTCCCAGTGTCCAGGCCACTCCCACAGTGTCCAGGCCACTCCCACAGCGCCCGAGCCATTCCCAGAGCACCCAGGTCACTCCCACAGAGCCCAGGCCACCACTCCTACAGTGCTCAGGGCATTCCCACAGCACCCAGACCACTCCCATTGCACCTAGGCCGCTCCCACAGCACCCAGGCCACTCCCACGGGGCTCATGCCGCTCCCACAGCACCCAGGCCACTCCCACGGGGCTCATGCCGCTCCCACAGCACCCAGGCCACTCCCACGGGGCTCATGCCGCTCCCACAGCACCCAGGCCACGCCCACAGGGCTCATGCCGCTCCCACAGCACCCGGGCCACGCCCATAGCGCCTAGGCCCCACCCGCAGCACCCGCCCCTCCCCGCACCTTGCACTGCAGGTAGGCAGTCTGGGGCCTGCCGGCGTCGTCTGTGTAGAGGACCTGCATGACGTTCGCGCTGCCAAAGCTCTTTTCCTCCACCTTCTCTGCTGCACGGACGTTGGCCAGCTTGAGGAGGGCGCTTTTCTGAGGCAGGGACGGCGGAGGAGGGTCAGGGACCTAGCCGGGGCCATTCCCTTTCCCATCTCTGGGCCTCAGTCTCCCCTTCTGCAGCACCAGGGGTAAGTGTGGGAGACCCAGAGTGACCTCAGCCAGGGCAGAGCAGACCGACGGCGACCAAGTGCCCAGCAACTGGGAGGGGACGATCTGGCCTCTCAGGGGTGCTCCCAGCAGGCCCGGGGGGTGTGAGCTTTGGGGTAGTGTCTAAACAGCCAGCATTCCCTGGGCTGCAAAGTCATGCCAGCCGCGGCCAACACTGTGTGACTTCGCATTTAGTAATTTTCCAACTTGCTTTTGTAGTCTCAGGCTCTAAAAGTCCCATATCCCATCCCCTGTCCCCTCCTTTCTTACCTTCCTCCTGCCATGATCAAATCTGATGGGAAGCTCAGAATCTAAAATACACATGTCCTGAAAAGGCCCCCAACCCACTAATGCTGAATCTCCACTCCCAGCCTCCATTACTGGCTCCTTTTCTTTCTTTCTTTCTTTCTTTTTTTTTTTTAAAGAGACGGGGTCTCACTATGTTGCCCAGGCTGAAGTGCAGTGGCTATTCACAGGCTCGATCCCACTACTGATCAGCACGGGAGTTTTGACCTGCTCTGTTTCCTACCTGGGCCGGTTCACCCCTTCTTAGGCAACCTGGTGGTCCCCCGCTCCTGGGAGGTCACCATATTGGTGCCAAACGTAGTGCGGACACCCGATCGGCATAGCGCACTACAGCCCAGGACTCCTGGGCTCAAGGGATCCTCCCACCTCAGCCTCCCGAGTAGCTGGGACTACAGGCGCGTGCCACCTTGCCCCCCTTCTTCTTCTTCTTCTTTTTTTTTTTAAAGATACAGGGTCTCGCGCCGGGTGCGGTGGCTCAAGCCTGTAAGCCCAGCACTTTGGGAGGCCGAGGCGGGTGGATCACGAGGTCAAGAGATCGAGACCATCCTGGTCAACATGGTGAAACCCCGTCTCTACTAATTAAAGTGCAAAAAAATTAGCTGGGCATGGTGGCACGTGCCTGTAATCCCAGCTACTCAGGAGGCTGAGGCAGGAGAATTGCCTGAGCCCAGGAGGCGGAGGTTGCGGTGAGCCGAGATCGCGCCATTGCACTCCAGCCTGGGTAACAAGGTCGAAACTCCGTCTCAAAAAAAAAAAAAAAAAAAAAGATACAGGGTCTCACTCTGTCACCCAGGCTGCAGGGCAGTGGTGCAATCATAGCTCACCGCAGCTTCAAACTCCTGGGCTCAAGCGGACTTCCTGTCTCAGTCTCCTGAGTAGCTGAGACTGCAGGTGCATGCCACTATGCTCAGCAAATTTGTTAAATGTTTTTTGTAGCAATAGGGTCTCTCTGTGCTGCCCAGGCTGGTCTCAAACCTGAGTGCTTTCTGCTGTCTTCCCTGCTTGGGGCAGAGGCCAAACAAGAGGAAGCCCTGCTCAGGGTAGAAATCACAACAGCGGCCCCAACTGTCTCAGAATGACAGGCCATCTGACTGGCTATCAAAGATTGACAGCAGACAAAAATGGGAACCAGCATTAAATGATGCTTATGGAGCCAAATCTTTCAACCCTGGCGGATGTGTCATCATCACCTGAGTGCTTTGGGAGGCTGGGGTGGGAGGACTGCTTGAGGCCAGGAGTTTGAGACCAGCCTGGGCAATAAAACAAGACTCGCAAAGAAAATTAGCCTGGCTTGGTGGCACGTGCCTGCAGCCCCAGCTACTTGGGAGGCTGAGGCAGGAAGATTGCTTAAGCCCAGGAGTTCAAGGCTGCAGTCAGCTATGATCATACCACTGCACTAGAGCCTGGGCGACAGAGCAAGACCCTGTCTCAAAAGAAGAATAATAATCCAAGAGGTCTATGGTAGGAAGGGGTGGACCCATTGTCTGCTGGGAGCCCTGATCTGGCTCTTTGAGAACAGAATGGGTGATGAGCTCCTTCACCTACCCCAGCCCATGCTCACCTGCTTAGGGCTAGGCTGGGTATTCCTGGCAGACTGTCCCCATGACTATCCTGCATGACTGGGCAGGTGTACATCAAGGGGTCACCAGGTCCACGGATAAAGTATGATCTTTGAGATCCCTTCCCATACCAAGATTCCCTGCTTCTATATTCCTGCCTCTTCCAGGAAGCCTCCCCTGGTTGCCCTAACCTCCTCCTCACCTAGTAGCCTAGGGAATGTACTATCTTTAATAATACCATTTGCCTAAACAGTACTACCTGCCAGGACCTGGGGCTTCAGGACCCTTAGGGAGATCATCTCATCTAACCCTCAACAACCTGGTCAGATCATCGTCTTCTTTTTTTTTTTTTTTTTTTTTTTTTAAGACAGAGTCTTGCTCTGTTGCCCAGGCTGGAATGCAGCGGCCTGATCTTGGCTCACTGCAACCTCTGCCTCCCTGGTTCAAGTGATTCCTGTACCTCAGCCTCCCCAGTAGCTGGGACTACAGGCACCCATCACCACACCTGACTAATTTTCGCATTTTTTAGTAGAGTCGGGGTTTCACTATGTTGGCCAGGCTGGTCTCGAACTCCTGACCTCGAGTGATCCACCCACCTTAGCCTCCTAAAGTGCTGGGATTACAGGAGTGAGCCACCCGTGCCTGGCCCTCCTAGGTTCTGACAAGCAGTACAGATGCCACACACCTGGCTTTCTTCTCTGACCCTCGGGGACCTCAGACGGGCTCCAAGGAAGGGCGCAGGTACCTCTAGGGTGCCATAACTTTTCAGAGCCCCACTTGCTGGCCTCCCTCCTTACCCACCTTGGAGCTGGGCGTCTTGGCGAAGCTGAGGGCCTCGCTGGTGAGGGAGAAGTAGAGCTTCTTGAAGGAGGAGGACATGAGGGGGCCCTTTCCCTTGGTTCTGTGGATGAAGAGCGGCCCCTCCTTCACAGGTGGCGCCTTGCAAACTCAGCGTCCGCTGCAGGTCCAGCTCTGCCAGGCCAGGGAGGGAGGGGAATCGAGAGCCCAGTGAATGAGAGCGGAACCAGGGGGCGGTGCAAATGTGACCAGCAGGCAGTGGGCGGGGCCCTGGGGCTCAAGGGCGGGGCAAAAATCAGCAGCGGGTGGTGAGCTGGGTGACAGGTGGGCAGAGGTAGGCGGGGCCGTGGGCTTCGGGGTTGTCTTGTGCTGTAGACCGTCTTTTTCCTCACCGTCCTTTTCCTCGATGTCCACGAGCTTGGTGATGAAGTCCTTCAGCTGTGCCACGCCCTGGCGCACAGTGGGCTGCAGCGGCTCCATCCAAGCCTCCTTGGCCCTGGAAGCCGGCGCGTCCATGTTGCCCACATTCTGGACTGCCTGGAGGTGACAGCAGAAGGGCCAGGCTCTGCTGGGTCAGGGGCCTAGCCACTGCACCCCTCCCACCCCCCAAGTCGTTGCTACTCGGCTGTAGAGATGAGGCAGAGGCGACAGAGGCCATGCCCACGGGGCCCCCCTCTCCAGCTCCACAAGGGATCAGGGAGGAGTGGATCGCAGAGTTTGATGCCTTACGATAACTGAGACCACTTGGGCCGCCTTCTGCAGGCTTAATAGCCGCTGCTACACTCACTGGGTACCCCACCCCGGTGCCGGGCAGACAGGTGCAGCCTGGGAGTAAGGAGACCCAGGTTGGAAGGTCCCCCGGTTCACCACGGACAGGCTGGGCGGCCTTGGCAACCTCCGATCCCTCGAAGGCCTGTCCCCTTATCCATGAAACGGGGCTCGGACAAGGTGGCCACAGGAAGGCTTTGCAAACTGTGAAGTGCAATGCCCACGTGGGCCTGCCAGTGGCCTCGACGGAGCCGGTAGGGAACACACAGCAGTCCGGGCCAGGGCCCCGGTGAGACAGCCAGCTGCGCATCCCGCCCGTGGCCGCAAGGCCCGCACCTTGGCCAGCAGCAGCAGGGTGCGGCTGGTGCGGGCGTCCGCGTGGCGCTCCCGCAGGTGGAAGAGCTTGGGCGACATGATGGCGGGAGAGAAGAAGCGCAGGCACAGGAAGCTGGTGACGGCGATGAACGGCACATTCTGGGGGGGGGGGGGTTGCGGGAGAGCGCGGGCTGGGGTCTCCCAGGCCTGGGCGCTGGGCAGCCCCCGCCTTAGGCTCAGTCCCTGATCCTCCCCGGGATACCGCCTCCCCGCCCTTCCCCAGCGCTCCGGAGGCTCCGCGGTTCGCTACCGCTCTTCGCCCCCCGCCCCAGCCGAGTCCAGCCCGGCCCAGCCCAGCCCGGCGGGTGGGGGGCGCACCTCGTGCTGGGCGCCAGGGAAGCGCTCGCGCACGCGCCGGAAGAGCTGGCGGAAGGTGGCGCGCACCACGGCTGGGCACGCGCGAACCGAGCGGCAGAGGGCGCTCAGCAGCGCCCCCAGGTGGGCGCGCAGCGTGTGCGCGCTCTGCTCCAGCACTTCGGCCTCGGTCTGCGGGCGGTGCAGCCCAGAGCACCTGCATGGGACGGGACGGGGCGGGGCGGCAGAGGGGGTCGCGGTCAGTGCCAGGGCCACGACAGGGGCAGTGGCTCTCGCAGCAGCCGGGACGCGGACACAGGGGGCAATATACCGGTGGGCAGAGCCACAAACAGACGTGCAGAGAGGGCCTGATCCCACCCGGCCACCACTGCACGCCCCCCCCCATTAACCCCGGCCTCACCCTACATCCTTGACTTCCACTTTGCTGGGGTCCAGCTCCACGTACTTCTTCTCCTCAAACACCTTGTTGATGATGGGGCCCAGGACGCTGTGCAGGTACCGCATCCCGGCCACCTGGGGACCACCACGGGTCACATTGGTCCCATCTCTCCCCATCCCACTCAAGCCTGCCCACTCTCTCCAGAACAGCCGCCTCTGCACCATCTGCCTGCTGTATCCACCCAGGAGGAGGCCAGGTACACATGCAGGGAAAACTGCTTATCCATGAATGAGTGAGTAAATTAATGAATGGAATTCTTAGCCCTTGTAATCCCAGCACTTTGGGAGGCCAAGGCAGGAGGATCACTTGAGACCAGGAGTTTGGGACTAGCCTGGGCAACACAGTGAAACTGTCTCTAATTTAAAATTTAAACACACACACACATACACACACTTTTTTGGGGGAGAGATGCAGTCTCGCTCTGTGGCTCAGGCTGGAGTGCAGTGGCGTGAGCTCACTGCAACCTCTGTCTCCTGGTTCAAGCGATTCTCCTGCCTCAGCCTCCCCAGTAGCTGGGATAACAGGAGCCCACCACCACACCAGGCTAATTTTTGCATTTTTAGTAGAGACGGGGTTTCACCAGGTTGGCAGGCTGGTCTCAAACTCCTGACCTCAAGTGATCCACCTGACTCAGCCTCCCAAAGTGCTGAGATTACAGGTGTGGGCCACTGCACCCTGCCACATTCTTTTCTATCTCTCTCTCTCTCTCTCTCTCTCTCCTTTTTTAGAGACAGTCTTGCTATGTTGCCCAGGCTGGAGTGCAGTGGCTATCCACAGGCGCGATCCCACTACTGATCAGCACGGGAGTTTTGACCTGCTCCGTTTCTGACCTGGGCCAGTTCACCCCTCCTTAGGCAACCTGGTGGCCCCCGCTCCCGGGAGGTCACCATATTGATGCCGAACTTAGTGCGGACACCCAATCGGCATAGCGCGCTACCGCCCAGAACTCCTGGACTCAAGTGATCCTCCAGCCTCAGCCTCCCGAGTAGCTGGGACTACAGGCGCACACCACTGTCCTTGGCTGGGCCACATTCTTAACCTTCGAGCGCTCCGAAAACAGAGATAGAGCCCTGGAGTGGAAGCTGCAGCCCTTCCGTCGGTCTCTCTGAACCTCGCTGCCGTCATCTGTAAGATCAGGACAGTATCGCGGGCAATCTCACCTTCAGAAAGGACTCCATGGACTTTGAGGCCAGGGAGTTGCTCCGGAACAGGGTGTTGGCCTCACCTACAAACAGAGGTCCCAGTGGGTAGGGGGCTGGGATAAAGCTTTCGGGGTAGGGCGAGGGCAGAGGACCTTGCGGCTGGGGGACCTAAGCTGGTCCCCTCAATAAAGGGCCTCCTCGCCACCTCCCAGCCCACTGTCCCACCTCGGCCCTTGGCTCTGTCCCTTGCTTCCCTCCTGTCTCCCATCTGCCTCCTGCACAAGGATCCCCTCCCCACCGCCACCTCCCAGTCCGCTGGGCCCAGCTCCCTCCCAGGCCTCACTGGTGCGACTCAGCTCCAGCTGGAAGAGCAGATCCAGGAAGTCCTTGGCCAGCCCCTGCCCCAGGAAGAGCTTGAGCAGGTTGGTGGCCACGTCCTGGCGACACTCGGTGCTAGTTGTCTCCTCGATGAGTGGGATCAGCTGCCCCGGGCCCTGCAGGGAGAGGCACGGGGGATCCCGAACCCTTCCCTCTGAGAACCTCAGGGTACCCCGGAGAAGGAGGGTGCTTTCCCAAGGGGTAGCTCGGGACGGGGCTCTGGGCACTGGCCAGCTCCTTACATCCCGAGACCTCAGTTTTCTGTTCTGCAGAATGTGTTTAGGACAGGGCTTAAGCCTACGGTCGCCGGACCCTCCCAGCTGCCCCGGGGCCCCCTCACCTGCATGCCCAGCTTCACCTCATGGCACAGCAGCTGCACCAGCGGCTGGTAGCAGCTGGAGGGCAGCACCGTCTCATCCCGCAGCCGCACCTCCAGCTGCAAGGAGCCCAGGTTGCCCCTGGAATGGGCAGCCTGTGACCTCTCCACCGGGGACCCAGGCCGCCCTGGGCCACACCCCTCCCATGGCCTCCCGTCTTTCTCCCTTGGGCCCAGCCTCCCGTCTCTCTGCTCATGCCCTCCATCTGGGTGCCCTGCACAGCTCTGCCTCCCAGGCTCTGCCCGGCCACTTATGTTCTCTTTCTGGAAAGCCCTTCCTGCCTCTGCATTCATGGCACCTCTCTCTGTCTTCGAGGTCTGTCTGGCTCCCTGCCGCCTCCAAGCTTGGGTATGTGGGGCTCCCAGCCTTGAATCTGTACACTCCCAGATGATGGCACAGGCATGTGTGCACTTTACAGCGGAAGCAAATCCCTGACCCTCATAACAACCTAACAGGGAAACTGAGGCTCGAGCTGGTTCAGCAGCAACTGGCCACATTAGATCCAGCTTCCAAACTTCCCTGTTCTGGTAGGGAAGGTCAGAACAGGGGCGGGTGTGAACCAAGGCATGACATCCTCTAAGGTCTCCACTACCCCTGCTCAGCACAAGCCTCCTGCACAGTGTAAGTGTTAAGAAGGGTCCCTGAGCCTGGCGCGGTGGCTCACACCTGTAATCCCGGCACTTTGGGAGGCCAAGACGGGCGGATCACTTGCGCTCAGGAGTTCGAGACCAGCCTGGCCGACATGGCAAAGCCTCGTTTCTACTTTAAAAAGTTCAAAAATGGCCTGGCACAGTGGCTCATGCCTGTAATCCCAGCACTTTGGGAGGCTTAGGCGGGCGGATCATCTGAGGTTGGGAGTCCGAGACCAGCCTGGCCAACATGGGGAAACCCTGTCTCTACTAAAAATACAAAATTAGCTGCATGTGGTGGCATATGCCTGTAATCCCAACTACTCTGGAGGCTGAGGCAGAAGAATCACTTGAACCCGGGAGGTGGAGGTTGTGGTGAGCCAAGATCGCGCCACTGCACTCCAGCCTGGGTGACAAGAGCAAAACTCCGTCTCAAAAAGAAAAGAAAAGAAAAGAAAAAAAAGTAGCCAGGTGTGGTGGCAGGTGCCTGTAATCCCAGCTACTTGGGAGACTGAGGTGAGGCAGGAGAATCACTTCAACCCGGGAAGCACAGGTTGCAGTGAGCCAAGATTGCACCACCGTACTCCAGCCTGACTCTGTCTCAAAAAAAAAAAAAAAAAAAAAAAAAAAAAAAGGCCGGGCGCGGTGGCTCAAGCCCTGTAATCTCAGCACTTTGGGAGGCCGAGGCGGGTGGATCACGAGGTTGAGAGATCGAGACCATCCTGGTCAACATGGTGAAACCCCGTCTCTACTAAAAATACAAAAAACTAGCTGGGCGTGGTGGCACGTGCCTGTAATCCCAGCTACTCAGGAGGCTGAGGCAGGAGAATTGCCTGAACCCAGGAGGCGGAGGTTGCGGTGAGCCAAGATCGCGCCATTGCACTCCAGCCTGGGTAACAAGAGTGAAACTCCGTCTCAAAAAAAAAGAAAAAAAGAAGATGGGCCTCGGTTGGCTCTATGGAAATGCCTCGGTGCTGACATGCAGCCGACCACCTGCCACTACCCTGTTAAGAATGGGAATGGGGGAAAGAGGGATCTGGGACCTTCCACAGGGACACAAAGCTGAACCATCGAGAACTGTGGGGGTCACAGCAAACCTCGCTGTTGTCATTTGTGAGATGAGGGCTTCCTAGACAGGCTGCCAAATTTAGCAAAATGACAACCCAAGACATTCAGTTAAATGTGAATATTTTATTTACTTATTAACCATTTTTTTAGAGATGGGGTCTTGCTATGTTGCCCAGGCTGGTCTTGAACTCCTGGGCTCAAGTGATCCTCCTGCCTTGGCCTCCTAAAGTGCTGAAATTACAGGCATGAGCCACCACGTGCCTTGCCTAAATTTGAATATTTTTTGTATAGGTATGTCTCAAATAGAACATAGTCTTTTTTTTTTTGGAGACTGAGTCTTGCTCTGTCACCCAGCTAGAGTGCAGCAGCGTGATTTCTGCTCACTGCAACCTCTGCCTCCTGGGTTGAACTGATTCTCCTTCTTCAACCTCCCAAATAGCTGGGATTACAGACACCTGCCACCACACCCTGCTAATTTTTGTATTTTTAGTAGAGACGGGGTTTCACCATGTTGGCCAGGCTGGTCTTGAACTCCTGACCTCACGTGAGCCACCCTCCCCAAGTGCTGGGATTACAGACGTGAGCCACTGTGCCTGGCCTTTTTTTTTTTTTTTTTTGAAACAGGGTCTTGCTCTGTCACCCAGGCTGAAGGGCAGAAGTGATCATAGCTCACGGTAGCCTCCACCTTCTGGGTGCAAGCAATCCTCCCGCCTCAATGCCCTGGGTAGCTAGAACCACAGGAATGTACCACCATGCCCAGCTAATTTTTTAATTTCTTCGTAGAGACGAAGTGTCACTTTCTTGCCCAGGCTGGTCTCAAACTCCTGGCCTCAAGGGATCCTCCCACCTCGGCCGCCCAAAGAGCTGGGATTACAGGCATGAGCCACCGCTCCTGGCCAAGGGTGTCCTGTCTTTTATCTGGAAACCATACTCCTGGAGAATCCTGGGGAGGGAATTAGAGCTGTGGCTCAGGGACACGGACCCTGGAGACTTGAACCCTGGTCTGAAGTCTGCAGGGAAATTCAAAGAAAAAGTGTCTGAGCACTTGTTTTACAAACTTCCAGAAGGCAGAAAGCAGGAGACCTGTGTAACCTGTGAGCTAAGAAGACAGAGCTGGCCAGGTGTGGTGGCTCACGCCTGTAATCCCAGCACTTTGGGAGGCCGAGACAGGTGGATCACTTGAGGTCAAGAGTTTGAAACCAGCCTGGCCAACATGGTGAAACCTTGTCTCTACTAAAAATATAAAAATTAGCCGGGCATGGTGGTGGCCACCTGTAATCCCAGCTAATAGGGAGGCTGAAGCAGGAGAATCACTGGAGGTTGCAGTGAGCAGAGATTGCGCCATTGCACTCCAGCCTGGGCAACAGAGCAAGACTCTGTCTCAAAAAAGAAAAAAGAAAAAAAAAAGATGGAGTTGAGTGTGGGACTGTGGGAAGGTGGAGCCCAGCCTGGATTGAGAAGGATGCTGGCCTGGTGGGCAGGGGCTGAGGGAACCCTGGACCTGCGTCTGCTGACCTCTCACCCCTGAGCAGCCCACCTGCCCTGCCTGCCTGGAGCCAGTTCCCCTCTCAGCCCTGCCCAGCCCCTCGCACTTACTCGTCACGCCGCCGGCTCTTGGACTGGTCGGGCTGCAGCCGGAACCAGCCCTCCTCCTGCTGGGCCGCCCACAGTCTCTGGACATCGATCACCACCTGGGGATACAGTGGAAGTCCTCCTGGAGCTGGGACACTTGGGTCTCCTCCTTGCCAACGACTGTTCTTAGTGGGGAGGGTCCTCCAAGGGTCCCTGAGCGCCAGTGGCTGTGGGGAGAAGTTGCTGGTTCTGGTAGACGGGGTGGGGAGCGTGGGGGGTGGGTAGTCCCAGGCACTGCCTGAGTATCCCTCTCTGGGGAAGCTGGAGGGGGATCTCTGAGTGTGGGGTGGCTGCAATGGAGCCAGGTGCAGCCTGGAGGGAGGGGTGCTCACTTTGCCCAGGAAGTCGTTTCGGCTGACAAGATCCCAGTCCCAGGCCTCCACACACAGCGCCTCTGCGGCCCCCTCTTCCAGCTCAAACTCAAACGTCTCATTCCAGCGTGGGTAGCATGACTTCTTCACGATCTGCCCAGAGCGGGGTGGGAGGGGGTTAGGCTGATGCCACCGGACTCCCCAGGCTGGGGAGTCCCCTGTCCCCGCAGCCTCCTCGCCTTGGAGGCTCTGCCGCATCAGGGGTTACAATGTCATGTCCAGGCTCCCACATGTTTCTCAGATGGGAAGAATTGAGGCCCAGGGTGAGGAAGAGACGTATCCAAGGCCACACAGCAAAACAGTCGTGACTGTGTGGATGAGGTGTGCAGGGAACACTTCCGCACTGCTGGTGGGAATGTGAATTAGATAGAAAACCGTGTGGAGATTCCTTAAGTAACTGAAAGTAGAACTACTATTTCATTCAGCAGTCCCACTACTGGGTATCTCCCCACCCAGAGGAAAAGACACGAATATGAAAAAGATATTTACATGTGCATGTTTATAACAGAATGATTTGCAGTTGCAAAAATGTGAAACCAACTCAAATCCTCATCAATCAACAAGTGGATAAAGAAACCACGGTATATATACATCTATATGATGGGATACTACTCGGTCATAAAAAAGGAATGAATTAGCCGGGCGCGGTGGCTCAAGCCTGTAATCCCAGCACTTTGGGAGGCCGAGGCGGGTGGATCACGAGGTCGAGAGTTCGAGACCATCCTGGTCGACATGGTGAAACCCCGTCTCTACTAAAAATACAAAAAAAAGTCAGCTGGGCATGGTGGCGTGTGCCTGTAATCCCAGCTACTCAGGAGGCTGAGGCAGGAGAATTGCCTGAACCCAGGAGGCGGAGGTTGCGGTGAGCCGAGATCGCGCCATTGCACTTCAGCCTGGGTAACAAGAGCGAAACTCCCATCTCAAAAAAAAAAAAAAAAAAAAGGAATGAATTAATGGCATTCACAGCAACCTGGATGGAACTGGAGACTATTATTCCAAGTGAAGTCACTCAGGAACGGAAAACGAAACATCGTGTGTTCTCACTCGTAAGTGGGAGCTAAGCCATGAGGATGCGAAGGCATAAGAGTGACACGGTGGACTTCGGGGGAAACGGTGGAGGGGTGAGGAATAAAAGGCTACAGACTGAGTGCAGTGTGTAGTGTGCAGGGGACGGGTGCACCAAAATCTCAGAAATCACCACTGAAGAACTTACTCATGTAACCAAACACCACTTGCTCTCCAATAACCTATGGAAACAAAAAATTAAAACAAACAAACAAAAAACACAGGGCCGGGCGAGGTGCCTCATGCCTGTAATCCCAGCACTTTGGGAGGCCAAGGAGGGAGGATCACTTGAGGCCAGGAGGTTGAGGCCAGCCTAACATGGTGAAACCCCATCTCTACCAAAAATACAGAAAATTAGCCGGGTGTGGTGGCGTGTGCCTGTAATTCTAGCGACTCAGGAGGCTGAGGCAGGATAATTGCTTGAACCCGGGAGGCAGAGGCTGCAGTGAGCCGTGATCTTGCCACTGCACTCCAGCCTGGGTGACAGAGCAGGACTCAGCCTCAAAAAAAAAAAAAAAAAAAAAAAAAAAAAAAAAAAAAAAAAAACCCACAAAACACAAAACAAAAACAGTCGCGACTCCACTGAGAAGCCAGACCTTGGTGCTTTCCTGCCCAGAAATGAGCCCGCCCCGCACCCTGACCCTGGATGTTTCCTGTGGGTGGGGAAGGCAGCGTGGGTGTTCCCAGATAATGCCACTCCAGCTGTCTCAATCCCCTCCTTACCCCTCAGCATGGCCAGGAGTGAGAGGAGTTGGTGCCAGAGGGGCTGGGACCTATTATGTCCCCTTAGACAGGTCGCCCGCTTCCCTGGGTCTCCTCCGTAAGACTGTGGCTCCCAATCTGTTCCCCCAGGTGACGGTGAGCCGGTGGTGAGGTGAGCAATGGGGGCGTGGCTGGCAGGTCCCCGAGCCTCCTGCCCTTCCCTGCCCTCTGGCCTCCTCACCGAGGTCTCCTGTGTCCGGCCCTTGTAGCGCACTCGGACGAAGGGGTCAGATGCGCCATTGCGGTCCTTCGGGGCCAGATCCCTGGTGGGGGTGGAGGAAGACAGGATCATCCTACTTGTCCCCTGAGCCCCCCTCCCCCACTTGTCACCACCATTATGTAACCACAACGGGCCAAAAGGCCTGGGCACATTCCGTTCCTGGCAAGCTGACTGTGGACAGTGAGCCTCTCCCCTTCCTGGGCCCTGTTCCCATAGCCACCTCCCCACGGTCACCCATGTGGCCAAGAGTCCCCCAAGGTGGAGGCCGTGGCTCCTTCCTACCAGGCAGCTGCAGGCCACTGGCTGCACCTTGCTCTGAGGGGGTTTCCAGGTGGCCGGGTGTGACTGCTGCCGGGGAACCGCTGGGGCCATGTGCCTGGCCCTCTGTTCCCAGGGCTTCCCTGAGCCTCGTTTGCTCATCAGGAAAATGGAAAAGCGAATCGCTACTGAGCTCAGGTTTAGGGAGAGAGTGCGCTTCCGGAAAACCCGCCCCAGTCCTGTTGCCCTACTTGGCGGAGGGGTGAGGTGCAGCCCTGATAAGCAGCCTGTTCCTCTCTCCACAGACGGGTCTTCACACAGCCCAAGTCTAGTCACACTACCCCAGCTTTTGTTTTTTTCTTTTTTCTTTTTTTTTTTTTTTTGAGACGGAGTTTCGCTCTTGTTACCCAGGCTGGAGTGCAATGGCGCGATCTCGGCTCACCGCAACCTCCGCCTCCTGGGGTCAGGCAATTCTCCTGCCTCAGCCTCCTGAGTAGCTGGGATTACAGGCACGCTGCCACCATGCCCAGCTAATGTTTTGTATTTTAGTCGAGACGGGGTTTCACCATGTTGACCGGGATGGTCTCGATCTCTTGACCTCGTGATCCACCCGCCTCAGCCTCCCAAAGTGCTGGGATTAGAGGCTTGAGCCACCGCGCCCGGCCTGTTTTTTTCTTTTTTTGAGACGGAGTCTCTGTCTGTCACTCAGGCTGGATGGAGTGCAATGGGGTAATCTTGGCTCATTGCAACCTCCGCCTCCCAGTTACAAGTGGTTCTCCTGCCTCAGCCTTCCGGGTAGCTGGGATTCCAGCTGCCCACCACCACGCCTGGCTAATTTTTGTATTTTTAGTAGAGACAGGTTTCACCAGGTTGGCCAGGCTGGTCTCAAACTCCTGACCTCAGGTGATCCACCTACCTCGACCTCCCAAAGTGCTGAGATTACAGGAGTGAGCCATCATGCTCAGCTCCCCTGCCTTTTTTTTTCTTTTTTTGAGACAGGGTCTTGCTCTGTTGCCCAGGCTGGAGTGCAGTGGTACACTCATAGCTCACTGCAGCCTCCACCTCCTGGACTCAAGCGATCCTCCTACCTCAGCCTCCCAAGTAGCTGGGACTATAGGTGTGCACTACCACGCCTGGCTTATTTTTAATTTTTTTTTTTTTTTTGTAGAGACAGGATCTTGCTATGTTGCCCAGGCTGGTCTCAAACTCCTGGCCTTAAGAGATCCTTCCACCTCTGCTTCCCAAAGCACTGGGATTACTGGCATGAGCCACTGCACCCTGCCAATATCCCCCACTTAGAACTCTTTATGGAAGTGGGGCGTGGTGGCGTGTGCCTGTAGTCTCAGCTACTCGGGAGGCTGAGATGGGAGGATCACTTGAACCCAGGAGTTCTGGGCTGTAGTGCGCTATGCTGATCGGGTGTCCGCACTAAGTTGAGCATCAATATGGTGACCTCCCAGGAGCGCGGGACCACCAGGTTGCCTAAGGACAGGTGAACCGGCCCAGGTCGGAAATGGAGCAGATCAAAACTCCCGTGCTGATCAGTAGTGGGATCGTGCCTGTGAATAGCCACTGCACTCCAGCCTGGGCAACATAGCGAAACCCCGTCTCTAAAAAAAAAATAAAAAATAAAAAATAAATTAAAAAGAAAAAAAGAACTCTTTCATGGAAGAACACCAAAGCCCACTCATCTTTGATATTTTAAACTTCTCATGCCTGCCTTTCTTTCCCCCTCAAAAACTATCTAATAAAACCCCAAAGTTGAGGCCAGGCACAGTGGCTCATACCTGTAATCCCAGCACTTTGGGAAGCTTAGGCGGGCAGATCACCTGAGGCCAGGAGTTGGAGACCAGCCCGGCCAACATGGTGAAACTCCGTCTCTACTAAAAATACAAAAGAATTAACTGGGCATGGTGGCGTATGCCTATAGTCCCAGTTACTCAGGAGGCTGAGGCAGGAGATCACTCAAACCCCGGGAGGCGGAGGCTACAGTGAGCCTGGAAAACGTCACTGCACTCCAGCCCGGATGACCGAGCAAGATTCTCTCAAAACAAACAAAAAAAAACCCCCAGGGTTTTATTGAAATAATTGAGTATCTGCTCAGGAAAAATAAAGAGAACATGTTCTTTCTTCCACTGCAGCAAATGGACCTTCTTAAGCTGACCTGGGATTCCAGCAAGAGTCTCATTGGTGAGGACAATGGGGGACAAGTCCCCTCACTCTAAGAGAGGGCTGGAGATTCCTCTCCCTTGCTAGGACTCTCTAAGAGAAGGTCAGCCACTGTGGCCCCAGAGGATGGGAGAGAGAAGACGCCGGGAGTGAGGGGAGGGCCAGGGAGACATGCTTCCGTGCCTCCCATCTCCGTGGGTGACGATGGGTGCCCGGGAGCAGCAGTCCTGAGGTCCCAGAGCCCGGGCGCGTGTGTGAGCGTGTACACACGTGTGCATGCCTGTCCCCCAGACAGCCTGGTGCCTGCCAAGGGTAAGGACGGAGGAAGTAGATGAGTGGGGGTGGGGTGGGGAGAATGAATGGGGGCACCAGAGGGTGAGCGAGTGTGAGGGCGTGGCTGACGCTCCGCCTAAGCCCAGCCATTTTTCCATTCATTTCTGTTTTCCTAGGACAGAAAATAACTCCCGGGTGAGCAATGTGAGCATCATCTGACCCACACCCCTCCTCTGCCCAAGGGAAGTCTTCCTCTTAGGCTGATCCCAAGAGTCGGGGTCACACTGGCTCCATAGGGGCTGCCTGGCTGGGGGCCACCCTCCCGTCCCACAGTCAGGGAGCGACTACGGGGAGGTGAGTTTGGTGATGGAAAGGAAGGCACTTCTCAGGGACAGAGTGTGACTCACACTCAGGCCCAGACGAGAGTGCAGCGTGCAGCTAAAAATACCCTGGGGTGGGGCAGTGGCCCTGTCACAGGTGACTCAGGCTCATGGAACCATCCAAGCCACTGTCCCTCCTTGGGGGAACCCTCATTTTGCCCATCAGGAGATTTTTAGCAATTCTTTTTTTTTTTTTTTTTTTTTTGACAAGAGTTTTGCTCTTGTTACCCAGGCTGGAGTGCAATGGCGCGATCTCGGCTCACCACAACCTCCGCCTCCTGGGTTCAGGCAATTCTCCTGCCTCAGCCTCCTGAGTAGCTGGGATTATAGGCACGCGCCGCCATGCCCAGCTAATTTTTTGTATTTTTAGTAGAGACGGGGTTTCACCATGTTGACCAGGTTGGTCTCGATCTCTTGACCTCATGATCCACCCGCCTCGGCCTCCCAAAGTGCTGGGATTACAGGCTTGAGCCACCGCGCCCGGCAGCAATTCTTTTCACACTCCAACCCCACAAGGGACCCGCTTACCCCACACACACACCCACCAGGCCAAGTTCACACTGGGGTTAAAGATAGAGAAGCCAGCCCCAGCACTGGGGCACTGGGGCTGTGTGATAGAGTTTGGGGTCCCTCACCTATACCCCCTACTCCATTTCTCTGCGATGGCTCAAGTTTCTCCATGAGAACATTAGCCTTTCCCTTAAAGGACATATCCCCTTGAGTGGAAATCACCCAGGAAACATCTCCAAGTCCAGAAAACCTCCCCAGATTATTATTATTATTTTTTTTCCTAGATGGAGTTTCACTCTTGTTGCTCAGACTGGAGTGCAATGGCGCGATCTCGGCTCACTGCAACCTTCGGCTCCGGGTTCAAGCGATTCTTATGTCTCAGCCTCCCAAGAAGCTGGAATTACAGGTGTCCACCACCACACCCGGCTGATTTTTTGTATTTTTAGTAAGGATGGGGTTTCACCTGGTTGGCCAGGCTGGTCTTCAACTCCCAACCTCAGGTGATCCACCCGCCTGGGCCTCCCAAAGTGCTGGGATTACAGGCGTCAGACATTGCCTGGCGAGGCCCTTGCTTGAGAGCAGGCTTTGGTGGGAAGTGGCCGGCTCTGGGACCAGGAGGTAGAGGTGGGGCAAGGGGAGGCTCAGCTTCCTCAATGGGTTTCTCTAGTTGCAGGGGACCCACTGCCTGCCCCCCAGGCCCCTGAGCCTTACCTGGCCTCCAGCACAGAGCAGCGAAGCCGGCAGGCCCGGGCCCCTGGCAGCACTTCCAGCCGCAGGTGGATCTCGCCCTGCACCTCCTCGTCGGGGTCAACCTCCATCAGGTGGGCCCACCCGCTGAAACCTGTGGAGTCAGCTCAGCCAGGGACCTGGCCCTGAACCCCCACACGCCCCTCACCCTCAGCCCCCACCAGGCACCTGCATCATCCCCTGGGAATCCCCTAAGCACCCGTGAAGCGGGGACTGGTATCCCCAGTGACAGATGAGGAAACCGAGGCTCAGCAGGTGAACAACAGCGCTTGGAAGAGCTGGGATTAGAATCTAAGTCAGTATGCCCTGGGGCCTGCGCCTTCACTATCAGGCCACTTTGTTGTTGTTGTTTTTAGAGACAGGGTCTTGCTCTGTTGCCCAGGCGGGAGTGCACTGGTGAGATCTCAGCTCATTGCAGCCTCCGCCTCCTGGGATAGAGTGATTCTCCTGCCTCAGCCTCCCAAGTAGCTGGGATTACAGGCATGCACCACCACATCTGGCTAATTTTTTTTTTTTTTTTTTTTTTTGAGATAGAGCCTTGCTCTGTTGCCAGACTGGAGTGCAGTGGCACGAACTTGGCTCACCGTAACCTCCGCCCCTCCGGGGTTCAAGCCATTCTCCTGCCTCAGCCTCCTGAGTAGCTGGGACTACAGAACTATGTCCAGCTAATTTTTGTATTTTTAGTAGAGACAGGGTTTCACCATGTTGGGCAGGATGTCTCGATCTCTTGACCTCATGATCCACCCACCTTGGCCTCCCAAAGTGCTGGGATTACAGGCGTGAGCCACAGCGCCCGGCCTAATTTTTGTATTTTTAGTAGAGACGTGGTTTCGCCATGTTGGCCAGGCTTGAACTCCTGGCCTCAAGTGATCCACCCGCCTCGGCTTCCCAAAATGCTGGGATTATAGGCATGAGCCACCGGGCCTGGCCTACATTTAAAAATTTTTTATTGGCTGGGCGCAGTGGCTCACGCCGGTAATCCCAGCACTTTGGGAGGCTGAGGCGGGTGGATCATGAGGTCAAGAGATAGAGACCATCCTGGCCAACATGGTTAAACCCCGTCTCTACTAAAAAGTACAAAAATTAGCGGGGCGTGGTGGCGCGTGCCTGTAATCCCAGCTACTCGGGAGGCTGAGGCAGGAACATTGCTTGTACCTGGGAGGCAGAGGTTGCCGTGAGCTGAGCTTGCGCCACTGCACTCCAGCCTGGCACCTGGTGACAGAGCAAGACTCTGTATCAAAAAAAAAAAAAAAAATTATTAAGATGGAGTCTTGCTATGTTGCCCAGGCTGGTCTCGAACTCCTGGCCTCAAGTGATCTGCCCACCTCAGCTTCCCAAAATGCTGGGATTACAGGGGTGAGCCGTGAGCCTGGCCTACATTTTAAATTTTTTTTATTAAGATGGAGTCTTGCCAGGAGGACATTGCAAGGTCACACCCTTCATAGGCATAAAGTGGCAGTTGGAAGAAAATAATTTCATCATTCCGTCAGGACTCATATCTAAAATAGTTATATACTGCACATAAACAAATAAACTTGTATTAGATAGATACCTATAAAATAAACATATAAACATGTTGTCTATTACTAGCCATTCCAGGTTAATTTATTTTAGAATTAAAGTAGATTTGTTAAAATATTAAAAAAAAAAAAAAAGGAGTCTTGCACTCGCCTGGCAAACATGGGTGAAACCCTGTCTCTACTAAAATTACAAAAATTAGCCAGGCGTGGTGGTACACACCTGTAATCCCAGCTACTCAGGAGGCTGAGGCAGGAGAATTGCTTGAACCCAGGAGGCGGAGGTTGCAGTGAGCTGAGATCATACTATTGCACTCTAGCCTGGGTGACAGAACAAGACTCTGTCTCAAAAAAAAAAAAAAAAAGAAAAAAGAAAAAAGAAAAAGAAAAGAAAGAAAAAGAATCTTGCTATGTTGCCCAGGCTGTTCTCAAACTCCTGACTTCAAGCAATCCTCCCACCTCAGCTTCCCAAGGTGCTGGCATTATAAGCATGGGCCATGGTACCCTGCCAGATTCCCCATCTTTTTTTTCTTTTTTTTCCGAGACGGAATCTCGCTCTGTTGTTCAGTCTGGGGTGCAGTGGCGCGATCTCAGCTCACTACAACCTTCACCTCCCGCATTCAAGCGATTCTCTTGCCTCAGGCTCCTGAGTAGCTAGGATTACAGGCACGTGCCACAACATCGTGCTAAGTTTTGTATTTTTAGTAGAGATGGCATTTCACCATGTTGGTCAGGCTGATCTCGAACTCCTGACCTCGTGATCCGCCCAGCCTGGCCTCCCAAAGTGCTGGGATTATAGGTGTGCCCGGCCTAGATTCCCCATCTTAAAACCGAAGGAGAGTGGCTCTCCCCTAGGGTTGCTGGGAGGGGCGTCTGAGGCCCGAATGGGGAAGCTACAAGGGACCCCAAGGAATGGCCTCACTGGGGCCACTAGACCCCAGAGAGGCTGGCTAAGGCTGCAGGTGGGAGAGACCTCTGTCCTGGCAGGGGCTAAGAGGCCCCATGAGTCAGCAGAACCTGCCTCCACCCTGCCCCCACGCCTGGCCCAGCCTCACAGACAGGAGCAGGTGTGTGCAGGGGAAGCTGGTGAGCGCGACACAAAAGCTCCGATGGCAGAGCCCATGGCATCCAAGAACTGGTTTGAACCCTCAGAGAAGCCCAGAGAAGGCAAGAGCTGCCCAAGGGCACACACAGTGAGGCTGCCACAGGGCTGACCCCTCAAAATAACGTCTGGGCGGAGCATGGTGGCTCTCGCCTGTAATCCTAGCACTTGAGCGAGGCCAAGGCGGGAGGATCCGTCGAAGCCAGGAGTTCAAGACCAGCATGGGCAACAGAGTGAGACCCCCTAAATCTCCATTTTTTTTTTTTTTTTTTTGAGACAGGGTCTCACTCTGTCACCCAGGCTGGAGTGCGATGGCATGATCTTAGCTCACGGCAACCTCCGACTGCGGGGTTCAAGCGATTCTCCTGCCTCAGTCTCCCAAGTAGCTGGGATTACAGGCAAGCGCCAAGCCTGACTAATATTTATTTTTAGTAGAGACAGGATTTCACCATATTGGCCAGGCTGGTCTCAAACTCCTGGCCTCAGGTGATCCCCCCGCCTCGGCCTCCCAAAGTGCTGGGATTATAGGTGTGAGCCACCACGCTGGGCCTCTGATTTTTTTTTTTTACTATACAAAAATTTAAAAAGTAACACAAAACAATGTCTGCATCCCAGGAATAATTCAAAGGGATCTCCAGCTCGGACCAGCTCCGGGCCGACCCTTCAGACTTAGGACACAGTGGTACTGGCCCCCGGGTGGAGGGGACCCCATGGGTTACAGAAGGAGCTGGCCCCATTGGGAGAAGGGGTCTCTACGCGTCAGCAATGGAGTGTAAGGAGGCCCTTTCTCCTGCCAGCAGAGGCTTCAGGTTCCACCCTTAGACGCCCCTGGGAAAGAGGCAGCCACAGCTAGGCTTGGGGACGCAACGCAAAACAGGTCAGGGGTGCCGGCCGTGACTCTGGCTTCTGGGGAGAGTAGAAACGGCTTTCCCTGAGCAGGAGACCAGACGGAGCCTAGGAGGGAGGTCTCTCAGTGGGAGGGAGACCAGGAACCGGGCAGGCCAGTGCGCGAGGGAAAGGGAGCATCTTACCCTTAGGGTGAGAGGCCAGGGTGTCCCTTGTCAGGCAGACCTTCCCGATAACATCGTCCCGACTAGAGGGGAGAGATGGAGCCAGAGCTGGGCACGGCTGCGGTACTGTCCTTCTTGGAGCCCAGCACCCGCCTCCCACCAAGTTCAGGGTCCCCCAGGGTGGGGGCAGGGTGGCGGACATGGCCCTCATCTGCAGGGTAGCCCAATGGACCGGGGCCTGTGGCCTTTCTGTAGACCATGGATTCTGGACCCTCTGAGGGGATTGATAGGTTTCTCGCATGCCCGCACGTGCCAAGCTCACACTCTCTGGGTGTCCATTTCACATGTCACACCTGCATGCAAGTGTATAGTCCATGCACGCCTGCGCCCGCATGCCTGCACACACACGCGTGTGACGTGGCACGTGCGACGTGACGCGTGCACCATGAAGCCACACGCTCAAGCCTTTTGCCCGCCCAGGCCCCCAGGCTCTGCCTCCCTCCAGCCTGCAAAGACGACACCAAAAAGGACCCAGAAGTCCTGGCGGTGGAATGGGCCAGGGAGCAGCCAGATGGCCAGGCCTGGGTCCCAGCTGGAGAGGGGTCACCCACCTGAGGGCATCCTCATCCATGACGTAGAAGGCCACAGAGTGGAAGGTGGGTGGCAAATGCACTTGGTACTCCTCCCCCCAGAAGGGGCACAGGGTCTTCCACACGGTGGCCGTCCTGCAGGAGAGAACCCTCAGCACATGCCCAGGCCACCCTCAGGCCCTGGGCTGGAATCTTCCTTGTATCTCCCCCAACCCCTGTAACCACAGGCTCTGCTACTGATGTGGTTTACCTGCACCAGACCCTACCATCCACCACCAATCACTAACTCTGACCTTCCTCTCTGCCCTGGATGGGCACAGGGCTGCCTCTCTCTGGCTGTTATTTATTTATTCATTTATTTATGAGACCAAGTTTCACACTTGTTGCCCAGCCTGGAGTGCAGTGGTGTAATTGCAGCTCACTGTAACCTCCGCCTCCAGGGTCCAAGTGATTCTCCTGCCTCAGCTTCCAGAGTAGCTGGGATTACAGGCGCTCGCCACCACACCCAGCTAATTTTGTATTTTTAGTAGAAATGGGGTTTCTCCATGTTGGTCAGGCTGGTCTCAAACTCCTAACCTCAGGTGATCCGCCCGCCTTGGCCACCAAAAGGGATGGGATTACAGGTGTGAGCCACTGTGCTCAGCCTATTTATTTTACTTTAATTTTTTTGAGATGGAGTCTTGCTCTGCGGCCCAGGCTGGAGTGCAGTGGTATAGCTCACTGCAACCTCCACCTCCCAGGTTCAAGCAATTCTCCTGCCTCAGCCTCCTGGGTAGCTGGGATTACAGGCACCCATCACCACGCCCAACTAATTTTTGTGGTTTTAGTAGAGACGGGGTTTTGCTGTGTTGATCAAGCTGCTCTCGAACTCCTGACCTCAGGTGATCCACCCGCCTCGGTTTCCCAAAGTGCTGGGATTACAGGCACGAGCCACTGTGCCCAGCCTCTCCAGCTGTTTTACATTTGGGGAAACTGAGACCACAGTTGGCAGGCGCTGGCTTCACTCAGGTCACAGGATAGCTGCTTCAGGGCAGCTGCAGAACCTGGCCTCCCAGCCCCACCCAGCTCTGGCCAAACCCCCGTGGATCAGAGCCTTCAACTCATGGCACTCAGCGGGCTAGTGGGTGGGGGGATGCTGAAGACCCCAAGGAACCAGATGAAAGCTCAGCCACCCGCCCCCATGCCAACCACTTCTCAGGCGGGTCATCTGAACCTGTTTCCCGTCTCCCTCTTGCTGTGTGTGGTTTGCAGACCTTCGAGAAAGGCTGGGACTCTGCTTGCAGGTGGGGAAGGACTGGGAATCTGGTGGCCTTGGCTACGGGTAGGCCATGGGCACTCAGGTGGGCAGAACAGCAGGGCAGCACTGCCATGAACTTAGAAGCAGAAGCCTGAGTGAAGGAGGGGAGGGGACAGCAAAGACCCTGCCCAGAGATCATGGAGACGACGGAGGAAGGGACATCCCAGGGAAATGGCTCTTTGGGGTGCAGGCTGGGGTGCCCAGTCTCAGGGAGTAATCACTTGGGACTCTCAGGAGACCGTCCCCACGTTAGTGCCAGGACCAGGGAGGGGAAGGGAGCTCAGGCTCTGGGGCGGCCAGACTTGGGCTCCAGTGTGGCTCTGCCACTTACTAGGCATGTGACCTTGGGCAGGGTAGTCTCCCTGAGCCTCAGTTTCCTTGTCTGTAACTGGGGTCTAATGATATCGTATCTCGCTAATTTCAAGAACTAAACGGGCTGGAAAAGGGCTGGCTCCACAAACGAGAGCTGCTGTTACAAATCGTCAGCATCAGTCTCTCCCGGAGACTGTGATGACTGCAAAGATGAAGAGTCCGGTGAGAAGCCCCTGGCCAGGCCAGTTTCCGGAAGGTCTTTCTCACCTCCTAGCTGGGGTGTGAGGGCAAGGTGGGGATTGCAGGCAGGGGATCAGGTGCTCCAGGCTCCCTCCCATCTCCGTACAAAATTCACAACAAGATTCACAGCCCTTTGCGGGGAAAGCGGAGCGTCCCTCGTTCCCGGGGTGGGGGTGGTACCTGATGATGGGCTCGTTGTCCACCTTCACGATGCAGTAGGGGTCGCTGCTGCCGGTGCTGCAAGACAGACGGGCAGGGGCGGGGCTGGAGGGCGGGGCTGGAGGGCGGGGCGGGGTGGGGTGGGCGGGGCATCGCGGCACGCCCCTCCCTCTGCCCGGCCCCTCGGGAGGAGTGCGGGGAAGAGAGCGGAGAGGGAGTCTCCGGGTCTAGGGCTGGAGACCGCAGGCTCCTCCAGCCAAACACAGGCCCCCGCCCGCAGCCCGGGAGCGGATGGTGAAGGAAGGGCAGGAACCCGCACCAGGGCTCCCCTTTCTTGGGCAGGGGTGGGAGTAGGTGGAGGGAGAGCTGTGGGGGAGGGATAGGGAGGGGGGAGAGACAGGGATGGGGAGGGAGAGGAAGAAGATAGAGGGAGGGGTGGAGGGGGAGAAACTGGGAGAGGGACAGAGGGAGGAGCAGAGAGGGAAGGGGACGGACAGGGAGGGGAGGGAGAGGGAAAAGGAGAGAGGGAGGGGGCTGAGAGGGAGGAGGAGAGAGAGGGAGCCGAGTAAGAGGGAAGGGGTTGATAGGGTAGGGGAGAGAGAGACAGGAGAGTAAGTGGAGGGAGTTAAGAGGGAGAGGGAGACTGAGTGAGGGGTGAGAGGGAGGGGGAGAGAGAGGGAGGGGGAGAGAGAGGGAGGGAGAGAGAAGGAGGGGGAGAGAGAGGAGGGGGAGAGAGAGGGAGGGGGAGAGAGAGGGAGGGGGAGAGAAAGGGAGGGGGAGAGAGAGGGAGAGGGAGAGAGAAGGAGGAGGAGAGAGAAGAGGGGAGAGAGAGGGAGGGGGAGAGAGAAAGAGGGGGAGAGAGAGGGAGGGGGAGGGGGGAGAGAAGGAGGAGAGTAAGAGGATGAGGGATACTGAGTGAGGGGGTAAGGGAGGGGGAAGATACAGGGAGGGGAGGGAGAGGGACAAAGGGAGAGGGTACTGAAATCTCCTGTTCCTCCCGCAGGGGATAGAACGTTCCTCCTTTCTATGCCCTAGTACTCCATCCCTGCCTTCCCCAAAACAGCTCCAAGCAACTGCCCCAGGCAAGCTCCCGACACACCGAAGTCTAGCCCCTCACTCTCCCTGGAGCCTTTGCTCCTGCCCTCCCAGACACCGCTGTCCCTCCTGCCCTCTGCCCTCAGCCCTGCCAGGGCCCTCCCTTGCCCCGGGGTGGGACAGGGAGGAAGTCCTCCCTGGGCTCACACTGCCTGCCCACTTCATCCGGATTGGTAGTGATCAGCTGCCTCCCACCTGCTCTGGGAGCTACCTGGGGCCAGGGCCCTGACACGGCTTGGCACCAGACAGGCGGCCCCTGAGTGCCGAATGTACAGACGAATGAATAAACTGATGAGTGAATAAATGAATAAATGTAACCGCTATCTGGGGAAAGAGGGACGGGGGAAGGCAAACTCGTGGTCAGTTCTAAGGGTCTCAGGTTGTCGGGGGTCTCCTGGAGTTGGGAGAGGCCTCCAGCCAGGCCTAGGGCTGACACTGGGTAAAAGTGGGTGAGTGAGCGCTGTCTCTGGAGCTGTTCCTCCACTGAGTGTCCATAAAAAGGAAGTATACTTCTATGGCGGAGGGTGGGGAATTCCAAGCTCTGCTTCCCTTCTCAAAAGGGGCTCTTCCAGCAGAGGAAGGCACTTGGGGCAAATGGCTCCAGACACTCTCTGGACACAGACAGGAAATGTCTGCTGAGACTCAGTCTTCCTACCTATAAAACGGGAAATGTAACCCCAGCTCACAAGGGAGCCTCCCTGGGTCCTGAGACCATGTGAGGTCTTGGGGGTGTTCAGTGAATGTTAGCACTGCCTGCAACTCTGCCTGTAACCTCCCCCTGCCGGCATTTGAGAGCCCCCTCCTCCTGGCCAGGTGCGGTGGCTCATGCCTGTAATCGCAGCACTTTGTGAGGCTGAGGAGGGCAGATCACATGAGGCCAGGAGTTTGAGACCAGCCCGGCCAACATGGTGAAACCCCATCTCTACTAAAAATACGAAAATGAGCTGGGTGTGGTGGTGCACGCCTGTAATCCCAGCTACTGGGGAGACTGAGGCAGGAGAATCATTTGAACCCCAGAGGTGGGAGGTTGCAGTGAGCCAAAGTGGTACCACTGCACTCCAGCCCGGGCAACAGAGCAAGATTCTGTCTCAAAAATAAGTAAGTAAAATAAAGAGCCCCCTCCTCCAGGAAGCTAGCCTGGCAACAGAGCAAGATTCTGTCTCAAAAATAAACAAACAAACAAATAAATAAATAAAATAAAGAGCCTCCTCCTCCAGGGAGCCCCCTGTGAATACCCCAGCTTGCATCCCACGAAACCAAAACCAGGGCACTACAGGTGTTAAGCAATCAGGCCCCTGGGCACCTCAGGTGCTGGACTGGGCTGCAGGACCCAGGAGCGTTAAAAGAAGCTCAGAGGAGGCAGGGAGAGGTCAGTGCTGGCTGAGGCAAGACGGGACCTCTCTAGACTGTCCCCCACTACTGGGCTGCTTCTGCTTCCAAAGGTCTGGAAGCGTGACCCGAACCCTGGTGTGCAAGGATTGTGAAGAGCTGGGTGGCGGATCACAGGGGCGGGAAGAGGCCCGTCTTGAGAGTGGGCTGAGGCCAGATTTAAGGCCCCGGGCCCAACCATGGTCCCCAGTGGGCTGCTGGGATCTGTGCCCTGCCCAGTTCCTTCTGTGCTGGCTAGTGAGGCCCCTAGGCTGCCAGCCTCTCTCACTTCTTCTTCCCCAAGCCAGTCGCCACTGGCCCCATCTGGCTACTTTCGGGGCATCTATATTTAGGGCCTTGGCAGTTTCTAGGCTGTGGAAGCGGGAGGATCAGGGAAAACCCTGAAATAGCCTTGGGCCAGTCCCCAGGGCCACTTGGTGTGGGAGGCAGTGGGTCACTGGTCATCGTGAGACTTGCTCATGCCTAGGTACGTGGGGATGGAGGACAGTGGGAAGAGGCAGGGCAGGAATGGGCAGGCTCTGAAGGCTACCAGGGATGAGGAATGCAGCTGTGCTCCGTGCCCTTTAGAGATATAAAAACCCATGACTAGAAGTGGCAGGGAGGCAGCTGGCGGCTGTGTGAGGATAGCTCCCTCCTTGGAACTGTCTCAGTCAAGATGAGCCGTTATGAGAGGTGGTGAGCTCCCTGTCCTCGGAAGTATGCAAGCCCTGGCTGTAGGGGATGCTGCTCAGAAGATAGGCAGGGTGCTGGTGAGGCACAGTGCAACTCCAGTACTCAGTGAGGGCCTCCTGTGATCCCCAAACCCCTGCCCAACTCTGCAGCCAAATGCTTTGCATAGGATTTCCGAGGCTCAGTCCCATTGAGCCCAGCTGCAAGCTTGCAGCCGTGGGCAGGCTTGGATTCTCGGCCTGTCGGCAGCAGACAACAGCATTCTGAATCCTGACATCTCTACCTACCCTCTATATCAACTTGGCAAACGACTTTCACTTTCTGAGCCTCAGTTTCCCCATGTGCAAACTGAGGATGTCTACTTTATAAAGCTAAGAAGAGGATTAAGTGGGGGAAGTTCTCAGCACCTCTTATTCTCCCCTACTACGGACCCTGGGCACCAGGAATGCCAGGATGAATGAGTCACAGTCCCTGCCCTCACAGTCAGCTGGGACAGCGCTGCCTCACCAGGGGTTTCCTCTTGCCACTCAAAGTGCTGGGCAGAGGGGTGAAACCAGGAGCCAGGAACTCTGCCCAAGGGTAGCAGGGAAAGCCCTGGAGAGGAGAAGTTTGAGAGGGGCCCTGAAGGATGAATAGGAGTTTTCTGGAGGATTGAAGAGGAGTGCCTGAAGGCAGAAGTCCCCACACGTGGGTGAAGGCAGAGATGTGAAGGCTAGTAGCCCACAGGGAGGGACTGAGTTTACGGGATGTTTTAAAAGGCGGCTGACAGGTCAGAGCTGTGTATGTCAGACACGAGAAGATAGGGAAGTTGCAAAGGGGATGTGAGTGGGGCAGGCGGGGGGGGGCAGGGTGAGGAGGGAGATTCCAAGGCACCCCTCCCCTGTAGATGAAATCCCTTTGCCCAGAGGCAGAGCACTGGCAGCCAGACCCCTGGCTTCTTCGTGGGCACAGCCCAAGAGCTTCGCTGCCCTGGGCTGGTGAGAGCCTGGAGCCAGGCACTAGGGCCAGCTGCTGTGGGGATGAGGAGGGAGGCAACAGACGGAGGGGCTGCTCCTCCCAGCCGCCACCAGCCAGAAGAGGCCGAGATGACCTAGTTCCTAATGCCAGCGGTGGTGGGGGTGGGGTGGGAGGGTGCTTAGAGGCTGGGCCTGGAGGCCGAGACCCTTCTCAGAGCTCCTCTGTCCCCCAGCCCACAGACCTCACTGCCAGCTTCTGCCCCACCTCCCTCCAAGCCTCCAAGGGCAGAAACCCACCTAGGGATGCCAACCCCTCCCTTCCCCATTGTCATGGCAACTGCTGAGCTGGGCCTCATCAGACCCAGGGGGCCTGGAAATGGCCCTGCTCTCGGTGGTGGCGCGCTGAGCGTGCTGGGAAGCTCACAGGGGCCACCATACGTATGTGCCAGCGGAGCGCCTGCCCCCACCCTGCTCCACCCCCTCGCCCACGCTGGCCACTTCTCTGCTTCCAGGAGCCCGGGGTGCCTGAGAAGGAGCCCCAGGGGTGGGGAACTGCAGCCCTGCAGACTTTGGACTCTGTTTCCTCCAGGATCCCCTCTCCCCCTCCCACCCTCCTCCTCCAGGCAGCCAGTGCCCCTCCATCTTTGAGCTTTCCCCCTCTTCCTCTAGAGGGATTTCAACCCCTAGTTTAAAGAGGGGAAACTGAGGCTCTAGGAGCAGGGAGCTGCCTAAAGCCTGCACATGAGGAAGGTGGTGGCAAGGCCAAGATAGGGGGCCCAGGGGCAGGCAGCTCAGCCCTGGGACCTACTAAAAAGGGTGGGACAAGGGGTTCCTGAAGGCCCCTCAAATCTAGCCAGGGACCAGGGGAATCCCCAGATGTCAGCGCCTGTTAGAAGCCCTAGACTCAAGGCCCTGCTCTGCCAGCCACTTGGAGCCAGCATTTCACGTCTCTGATCCTCGGTTTCCTCATCTGTAAAATGGAACGGAGAGAGCTGCCTTGCGGGGTGGTTTCAAGGATTAACGGGATGGCTCAAGTGTAAAGCCTGAGGCACAAGCGACAGTTACTACCCTGCTTCCCTCCCCCACCGTCCTGCACCAGTCCTGGCCTCCTGACCTGTTCTCACTTTTCATGCCAGTCTCTCCTACCCAAATGCCCAGCAGGAAGCCCGGGGACAGCCCCTGGGCCCCAACATGTGCTTCAGGTGCATACTCCAAGGCATTAAGGGCTCTGAAACTATTGAGGAAGACCCCTCCTTTGCAGGGGGGCCCTCCCATCCCCTCCAACAGCACCCCGGGGGCAGACCACCAAGACGTCTCCCCTGGCATGTCACCCGGCTCCAGCTCCGGTCCTATCAAAGCCCCTTCCCATGGTGAGCCGCGGATCGCTGACAGATTCCCGCCCCCTCCCCAGTTCCCAGCCCCCCATACCCACACCTTCGGTGACACTAGTCCCCCTCTTATCACACCCTGTCTGGTGCTCGCAGCAGATGTCACTGTCCCCATTTTCCCCGCTGATCCCCCACCGCGGCCGCACTCCCGCACCCTCTCCGCTGCTCTAATCGTGGGTGGACCCCGGCAAGGTCAGGCGTCCTGGGGGTCAGCGCCCCTCCCCGGAAAGTTGGGGCTCCCACCCCCGGCCGCTCTCACATGTCCTTGGCGGGCAGGTTCTTTCCCTCCACGATGCGGATGGACAGCGAGCTGCGCTTGGCCATGGCTGGAACCCGGCTCGCGGGGAGCCAGACACCGGGGTCCCAGACTGCGAGCGGCGGGTGCTGGACTGGGCGCCGCGGGGGGCGGGCCGGGCAGGGAGGTGGGGGCGGGGCGGCGGGGGCGGGGTTTCGCTGCCACTCCACTCACCCCGCCCCCGCCCCACGTGCGGGGGAAACGGCTCCCGGACCGGCCAATCCGCGGCTGGGGCTCCCCGGGGTGGGGCGGGGCCGACCCAGGCCGCGGCCCTCACTGGCCGCCTGGGGCGTGAGGGGCGGAGCCTGCGCGGAGGTGCTGACGCCCGGCTGGGTGCGGGAGCTGGAGCGCAAGGGGGGCGCCCCTGGAGGCGCGGGTGGGGGATCTGGTCTGCGTGGCCTGGGCCGCGGGTGCGTGTGAGCGGCGGGTGTGGTCCGAGCTCGAGTACCAAGGAGCACCGGGAGATGGGGGGTGACTGTGAGCTGGGGACACGCGGGCCTGGGGGGGTGGCACATGCAAGGACTGGGGACACATGCCCACCGCGCCGGGACCACCCAGGTCTGGCGCGTGGAAGGCCCTGCGTGGATGGATGTGAGTTGAATGAATGAGCGTTCGGACGAACGTAGCAAACAGCAGGAGTGTTTATATCACAGCCATCTGGACCCAGGAGACAGACAGAGCCCGGGCAGCTCAGAGGTTTTGGAAATTGGCATTTGAGTCTGAGAGACCTGTTATTGTTTTGATTTTTTTGTGCACCTGCTTGGGAGGAGCGGCCTTCTCAATTGTCACCTTATTTACTCCTCCTGCGTCCTGCTCAGTGGGAAGGTGGATGAGGTTCACAGTGGGAAGATTTCCTGTTGGAGGTCAGGAGGTCACCCAGGTGGCACGGGGTGGGGCCAGGTTTGCCAGGCTTGGCCTCCCACGTACTTGGTGATGACAGGCCTTTCCACTGTGGCGAGATCCTTCTCACATATTCTGTTCAGGGCGAAGTTTCTAGAATTATCCATCTTCATGGTTCAGTCTTGGGGCCCTGCTCAGCAGTGACCGGCCCTGGGCAGCTGATTCCCCGGAGGGCACTGTACCAAGCCTGACCACAGAACTGGGTCGGGACCCAGCTCTACCACTCACTCCCTTGCTGGGTGATCCTGGGCGGCTTCCTGGGCTTCTATGAGCTGGTTCAGTTTCATCAACTGCAGAGAGGGGGGTGAGAGCAGTAACACCTGCCCGAAGTACACAGGAGATATTGTGTCTAGCACAGATTCCAGTTTCCCTTATATCATTTTCATATTTTGTTATTTGTATGGTACATGCACACTTTATCAAATTCAAGAGATACTAGCCAGATGTGGTGGCTCACACTTGTAATCCCAGCACTTTAAGGCAGAGGTGGGTGGATCACCTGAGGTCAGGAGTTGGAGACCCGCCTGGCCCGCACGGTGAAACCCCATCTCAACTAAAAATACAAAGATGACCTGGGCATGGTGGTGGGTGCCTGTAATCCCAGGTACTCGGGAGTCTGAGGCAGGAGAATCGCTTTAAACTGGGAGGGGGGAGGTTGCAGTGAGCTGAGATGGAGCCCCTGCACTCCAGCCTGGGTAAAGGAGTGAGACCCTGTCTCAAAAAAAAACAGAAAACAAAGTATACAGGAGATATTGGGTGTGGGGGATGTCTAACACAGATTCTAGTTTCTGTTATATTGTTTCTTTTTTTCCTTTTTTTTTTTTTTTTTTTTTTTTTTGAGATGGAGTCTAGCTCTGTCGTCCAGGCTGGAGTGCAGTGGCACGATCTTGGCTCACTGCAACCTCCACCTCCTGGGTTCAAGAGACTCTCCTGCCTCAGCCTTCCGAGTAGCGGGGGACTACAGGTGTGTGCCCCTATGCCCAGCTAATTTTCTGTATTTTTATTAGAGATGGGATTTCACCTTGTTAGCCAGGATGGTCTCCATCTCCTGACCTCGTGATCCGCCTGCCTCGGCCTCCCAAAGTGCTGGGATTACATGCGTGAGCCGCTGTGCCGGCCTTCTTTTCCTGTTTTGTTATTTGTATCGTGCATGTACACTTGATCAAATTGAAAAGATACTGAGAGCCGGGCGCGGTGGCTCAAGCCTGTAATCCCAGCACTTTGGGAGGCCGAGGCGGGTGGATCACGAGGTCGAGAAATCGAGACCATCCTGGTCAACATGGTGAAACCCCGTCTCTACTAAAAATACAAAAAATTAGCTGGGCATGGTGGCTCGTGCCTGTAATCCCAGCTACTCAGGAGGCTGAGGCAGGAGAATTGCCTGAACCCAGGAGGCGGAGGTTGCGGTGAGCCGAGATTGCGCCATTGCACTCCAGCCTGGGTAACAAGAGCGAAACTCCGTCTCAAAAAAAAAAAAAAAAAAAAAGATACTGAAAGTTTGCAATGATTAAAAAGAAAAGTAAGTCTCACTAGCTACACAAATTCCCTCCCACGGGCATCTACTGTTCTTAGCTCCTTGTAAATCGTTCTGACAGCAGTCTCTGCTTATAATGCATCAGCAGATTTATTTGTATGTATATATATATATATTTTGTTGTTGTTGGTTTGTTTGTTTATACACAAATAGTAGCTTACTGTTTACACTTACAGTTTCACTTATTTTAACTTGGAGAGTTGCACATATTTATTCATAAGAAAACATCCTAGCCAGGCACTCATGCCTGTAATCTCAACACTTCTGAAGGCCAAGGCAGGAGGATCGTTTGAGCCCAAGAGTTTGGAGGCTGCAGTGGGCTATGATTGCACCACTGCACTCCAGCCTGGGCAACAAGCAAGACTCTGTCTCCAAAAAAAAAAAAAAAAAAAAAAAAAAAAATGCTGGGCGTGGTGTCTCACATCTGTAATCCAGGCATTTTGGGAGGCCAAGGCGGGCAGATCACAAGGACAGGAGATAGAGACCACCTTGCCTAACACAGGGAAACCCCGTCTCTACTCAAAATACAAAAAAATTAGTCAGGCATTGTGGCGTGCACCTGTAATCCCAGCTACTCGGGAGGCTGAGGCAGGAGAATTGCTTGAACCCAGGAGGCAGAGGTTGCGGTGAGATAAGATCGTGCCACTGCACTGCAGCCTGGGCAACAGAGCAAGACCCTGTCTCAAAAATAAAAATTAAAATTAAAAATAAAGCAAGTAAGCAACCACGCTCATTCCCTCTGCCGCTGGGCAGACGCACCATCTCTCTTCAACAGGTCCGGTTCCCACGTGTGGACAGGGCAGTTGCTGCCACTGTTTGTGTTCATCAGACAACAGCATGGCTCACGCATTTTGCATGGGAGCAAATGCAGCTGAGAGGAAATTTCTAGAAATGGCCATCTCTAGGCCAGAGGACACATGAGTGCAAAAAAGCCGCGGGATTTGCCACATTTCCCAAGGTGGTGGCTGTTTTTGAGTGCAGGGCCACCAACATTCAGGAGACCACCAGCTTCCCGAGTCCTCCTAGCACACTCGTTATCAGTCTTGTGATCCTTTTCTCTTTTCTTTTCTTTTTTTTTTTTTTTTTTGAGACAGAGTGGCATGTGTCTGTAGTCCCAGCTACTTGGGAAGTTGAGGCAGAATCGCTTGAACCTGGGAGGCAGAGGTTGCAGTGAGTTGCAGTGAGCCTGAGTAGGCTGGAGTCCAGTGGTGCGATCTCGGCTCACTGCAACCTCCGCCTCCCAGGTTCAAGCGATCCTCCTGCCTCAGCCTCCCAAGTAGCTGGGACTACAGGCAACCACCATCACGTCCAGCAAATTTTTGTATTTTTTAGAGACAGGGTTTCACCATGTTGTCCAGGCTGATCTTGAACTCCTGACCTCCAGTGGTCTGCCTGCCTTGGCCTCCCAAAGTGCTGGGATTACAGGCGTGAGTCACTGCGCCCGGCCTCTTTTTTTTTTTTTTTTTTTAAGAGAGACACGGTGTTGCTCTGTGGACCAAGCTGGAGTGTGGAATCATGGCTCACTATAGCCTCGATCTCCTGGGCTCAAGTGATCCTCCCACCTCAGCCTCTGGAGTAGCTGGGACCATGGCATACACCACCATATACTGCTAAGTTTTATTTTTTTTGTACAGATGGGGTCTCACTATGTTGCCCAGACTAGTCTTGAACTCCTGGCCTCAAGCAATCCTTCTGCCTCAACCTCAAAGTAGCTTTGACTATGGGAACAAACCAACATGTACAGCTAATTAGAAATTTTTTTTTTTGGAGAGATGAGGTCTAGCTGTGTTGCCCAGGCTGATCTCGAACTCGGCCTCAGAAGATCCTCCTACCTCAGCCTTCTAAGAGAGGCCCTTTGAGCCTAAACCATGGCTGGTCTCCCTAAAATAGTCCATCCAGTACATCCCTGCCTCCCCCAGAGCCTTCAGCCACCTCTGCCAAGAGTTCTAGACCCCACAATGACCTGGTCACCAGGCCTTCCAGAGTGTAGCTACACAAAACAGATGTAAACAAACGAAATCCTCCCTTCTCCTGAGCAGCAGACCCTCAGTGATGCCATCCACTTCCCTTTAGCTTTGTTGTGCCATGCTCTCCCGGTTTCTAGTTCCAAGCAGCAAGAACCAGCTTTAACTAAACAAAAAAGTGTTCATAGGCCGGGCGCGGTGGCTCAAGCCTGTAATCCCAGCACTTTGGGAGGCCGAGGCGGGTGGATCACGAGGTCAAGAGATCGAGACCATCCTGGTCAACACGGTGAAACCCCGTCTCTACTAAAAATACAAAAAATTAGCTGGGCATGGTGGTGCGTGCCTGTAATCCTAGCTACTCAGGAGGCTGAGGCAGGAGAATTGCCTGAACCCAGGAGGCGGAGGTTGCGGTGAGCCGAGATCGCGCCATTGCACTCCAGCCTGGGTAACAAGAGCGAAACTCCGTCTCAAAAAAAAAAAAAAAAAAAAAAAAAGTGTTCATTAGATGGATATCCAGCATGTCACAAATTCTCCTGAGAACCAGGTACAAAGGCCACACATAGCCAGGAACAATGCCCCAAATTCACCGTACAAGTGGCTTGATGCAGGCACCCCCACCGCAGGCCCTGGCCCCAGACCTTCATCTCACATCGACACGGGACGCCGTGTGCTGCCGATACAACTGTTACACTCCAAATCCCTCTTCACGACAAA